CTGCTCTGGTGGATGATTCTCTTACTTAATTTCGTATAATTGGTCGGTTCTGTTACAGAGTCAACGCAGGAGGATGTGACCCCGCTAATGGAACACCAACGAATGGAGAACTGTACCACTACTACCTCGACATCGCAGGTGTCATGGCAGCACCCTCTTTTAGAGAATCCTATTAGACATTGCATAATATCTAGAACTGCTAGCGCTTTATAATTATTCCTTTGCTAGAACTTTGATGCATGCTACTACCTGAGCCATTATTACCCTGATGCAACCCACTCTACCACGTCACCCTACTTTGCGCATTCGCTCGCTTATATATGCTTACTTGCCTGCTTGCTTGCATATTGTACCACTATACTTATTATTAACTCCACTTTGCATTATATCGGGGATGTGATGCTGGTGGTGCACCCCCTGGGAATGGTTTGGCTATGGGTGCCGGACTTGGTGGTGTGTGAGCGTGCTGCGTGTGTCTTGGGTGCATGGAGAGTGAGGGTTGTGTCGACCGAGCTGGAATAACGACGAGCCTAGGGCGAGTCTTGCCATGTGGTGCTACCTGGGCACTTGGATATGGAATACCTGTGGCGGGTAAATGGTAATTGGAGGTGGCCTTGGGTGTGAACCTCGGAGAGGTGGAACCCGGGGTGGAGGTGCTGTGGTGGCATGGTAAATGGAAACCCCGATGAAGACATTCTGGCTTGGTCACCCCTAAGGACTTACTAGTACTCAGATTCACCGGGAATCCTTTACATCCCACTCGTCCTATATGGTGCAGGACGGTCGAACTACTTGGTAGAGCGATGCCACTACTGCTAGGCGAACGTGTGCAAGGAGGTACGGGGTGCGCGGTTTTCCCCCACACCCTTTTGAGACTTCAGGAGGCCTTGTGGACCGGCTCTTGACATCCGGTGGGCCCTGGCTCTGTCTACGACTTACAGTATCAGCCATCCCATACTAGACTTGGGATGTTCCAGGGCTGAGAGGTAGGGTGGCATCGTTCTAGGCTAGCAAGCGGCCGAAATCTGCCTAGACGGGGCACCGTCGAGGATGGCTATCTTGTGGGTATGTGAAACCTCTACAGAGTGTATGGTTGATCGATCGATACATATGCCGACTCGTTAGCTATGGACATTTCCTGGGTTTCGCTTAAACTAGATAGGAGATGAGTCCTTCCATTCTCCCTCCAGGGTTGGGGTATTTTCCGGTCGTGAGCCTTGGGGGCTGCGGGCCGTTGAGACAAGTGCCGAGAGGGAGTCGGCCTGTCGACATGAGTGTGTGAGATGATATACGGTGTGGTGGTGTGGAGATGGTTTGGGATGGATGGTTGGTGGATGGATATGGATGGATGTGGATGGGAATGTGTTAAAAACTGGACATTATTATTACATTACTACTGTTACTTACTTCTCATGCGCTAAGGATGCAAACCACAGCCAAATATTAGGATCGCCAGATCCCTTGTTTATCTTTTTCCACTAAAGCTCATCGGTGCTGACCATGGCCTGCACACATCTGGCGGTGTGCAGATTTCCTGCTACTCAGAGATGCTGACTTTAGAAGGATTAGGAGGTCTCGTGCCTACACTCAAGTTTGGTTCGGAGAAGGAATCTATACTGCACTACGCCAACTCTGATGATGCCCGTGAAGGAGGAGCCTTCACTCGATAGTCTTCCGCTAGATTAACTCTGTAATAGGTGTGTTTCCCCAGTGATATAATATCTTGTATTCTTGTAATCTTACGATGTATGACTGTGATATCGACTGATATATGATAATATGATGGAATCAACTATTAGTTTCATCATATTATAATTCATTCTGTGTATTTTCCCTTCGTGGAAAATTGAGGATGTTTCAGTGCGTGGCCTGGAGGCGGCGGTGGCGGGACGCGAGGATGGCGCAGCTCCCGTGCATGCGCCCGCGAGCGCGCGGTCGGCCTTCTCAGGTCACCTCCCCGCCGGTTTTCCTCCTATGCTCCGACGAGCTCCTCGGCCCCGGCACATGAGCTCCGTCGCTACTCCGCTCTGCTCCTCCCGTGCACAGAGCATCACCGTCACGCCGCCGAGCACTAGCATGTCACGCGGCAGCTCATCCGCGTCAAGCTGTCAGTGGCTGCGTCGCTGGCCATTTGCTGTACGATTTGCGGTCACGATTCAGTGGCTAATCTACGATTTGCGTCGTCGGCCATGGCGAGTGGGGGAGGAGGAGCAGAGTTGCTCGGTCCTTCTCTTCCTTCCACCCACCACCTGTTCGACACAACGCCTGAGAGTAGGTAAACTTACCGGCACGAAGAAGAGGTGACTATCAAAAACAAACTAAGCAATCAAACACGCCATTTGCTAGCTAAACTTAGATAATACAGCCAACCAAACGACTGGTGATTGACTTGCTAGTGAAAGTGCATCTAGCCATTTAGTGGGTTTTGGATGATTGAATGACAACACGATTAAAGATCTAACATATTCACTAAGTGTTGGCCAGGAAATTGGTTATCTCACAGATACTTGATTAAATTGTATAAAGCCAAAATGATGTGTTGTTGTATAAACAATCTAGTTCAAGCACAAGACAATAATGCAAATGGAATTCATGCAAAGACTTATTTATTGTGGGATTTCCATGTACTATGTGAAAGCAAGCACGGTAAGAATTAATTAATGAGACATGAGGGATTGTATATGGAATGGTCTCATATTTGAAGCTTGCTTAATTGAAATGAAAAAGATAACAATACAACTGAATGGATGATTCAACACAAGATGTGACTTGATGGCTTGAGATGGTGAAGATAGCAAGGAAAGTTTTTGAGGTACTTAGCAAGGGTGAAGGGCAGGCGACGGCTTGGCGGCCGAAGAACCGAGCTAGGGTGAAGAAGTAAGTACTTACATTTAGTTGAGGTACTAATCAAGCTATGATGATCAGATTAATGTGGAGGATCAAATCACTATTGGAGTGTTTGATGGAAGTGACTCGATACATTTGGGATTATCTATATTTGATGAATGGAATCAAGTCACGTGCTCAAGATGGCTATGCTCAAGTGAAAAAGATCAAAGTTGATATGTTGGCACCCTCACTTGATGAAGATTGGAATACATGGCTTCGGTTGAAAGAGATCAACTCAAAAGGTTTAAATTCGTTATATATTTGAATTTGAGTTAATAGGAATGCCGTACTATCAAGAGGGATGTATCATGTTGATAGATGATTATTCATAAGTGCTCAAGCCAACCTATGTGAGGTTTGAGTGAAAGAGAGAGGAGAGAAACTAAATTTGTTCTGTGACCGAGCATGTCCGGTGGTAGGGTCACTGGTGTTTCTCTAACATGGTTCGTCGGGAGTTCCGACGTCCCGACACCTAACTAACTTGGAGAGTTAACTGCCTGGTCACACCAGACGTGTCCGGTATTCTACCGAACGTGTCCGGTATAGTAGGCCAGAGCCCAACGGCTAGTTTTCAAATGAGCTGAGGGTCGAGAGTTCTGACGTGAGTCGGGAGTTCCGACGGTCAGGGGTTCTGGCATTCGCCGGGAGTTCCGACACCTCACATACTTTAACTCAGTTACTGTTGGTGCAGTGTAAGTCATACCGGACGGTATGGTAACGGCTAGAAATCAGCTAGTTTTTCAAATAGGCTATAAATACCCCCAAGCCTCCACCTTTGGAGGCTGTTGATTTTGCTGGTCCTCTAGCATATTTTTGAGCTTTGTCAACTCTCCTAAACCCTCTCTTAGTGAGTGTGATCCAAATTGCTAAATCCATTAGTGGGTTGAAAGAAATTCGAAAAGAGAGCAATCCAACTACTTGAGCACTTGTGCATATTGTCAATCTCGTGATTTGTATTTGTTACTCTTGGACTCTTCGGTCCTAGATGGTTAGGCGTTGCCGGAGAGCACCCGAGAGACTGTGGTGTGCCTCAGAAAGTTTGTAACGGTCGATTCCGCCGCCTCGGAATCAACTAGTGGAAGGAGGAAAGAGAGTTGGAAAAGACTCCGGCTAGAGTGACCTTCGTGGTACCCTCTAGGGCTGACCTTCGCTGGGTCGCCCGCAACCCCCTCAATGGAGAGTAGGACTCGAACGAGTCCGAACTTCGGTAAAACAAATATCGTGTCTCAATTCGTATTTTATTTGATATTTGTGTTGCTCTAGCTTTTTGTGCAGGTTACCTGTGTGTGGCACTATCTTTAGTGGGTGCCTACAGGTTGGATTGAAGTTTGGAATCAAAAGGAGCAAGTTAGGGGTCACACTGCAGAACTCGTGTATACCGGACGTGTCTGGTATAACTACTAGACGTGTCCGATATTGCCTGAAGTGTTGGATTGAACCGGACGTGTCCGGTACCTCTACCGGACGTGTCCGGTATTGGCCCCTGCTCTGTTTTTATCTATTCACTGCACTAATCGTTGTGTTGCAGGGTTGTAGCTCCTAGATTTATTTAGTATCTTTTACATATCCTGTGGCTAACTTGTGAGTGATGGTATTACTTTTATTTGAAGGTTTTTTCATTTTGAAAACTCCCTTTACTAATTGTTTTCATATTTAAATGTGTTAATTTTTAGAAACGTCTATTCACACTCTTTCTAGACGACATTTTAGGTCCTTTCAGCTAGGGACAGCCTAAAGCTAATCAGATTTGAAAGCTAGCCAGCCGGCTAGAAATAAGCCCGGTAAACCAAACACAACCAAAGTGCTTGGTTTGTCACCGTCTGTTATGCCGTCAGATTAATGTCGCCCTGACATCATTTCACCTGCAGACCTGCTTCAGAAATGGGTAGTGAAAGAATAAGATAGCACAGTTCAAAACAAATCCGCAAAATGGGCTTGGCCCAACGTACGTACAAAATGGGTCCAGACCGCTAAATGGGCTCAGCTGCCTCTTCTTTTCTCCGCTCCCTTCCCCTCGTCGTCCCAACCGCGCCCGCTCCTCATTTCCTTCCTTTCCCAAACCGCCTGGCAATCGGCACGAGCCCACGACCTTGTAGACGTGGGCGTAACCCATGGAGATCACCGAGGAGCAGCGGCGTCGCTCCGAGGCCAACCGCCTCGCCGCCCTCGAGAAGCGCAAGCGCCTCGCAGTGGCTGCAGCCGCGGCCGCGCCTGCCACCGCCTTTCCCGCCTCCGGCGCCCCCACATTCCCTGCCTACGACACTGCCGCCGCCGCCGCCGCCGAGTGGAGGCTCGCCAAATGCCCAAGAATCGCCCCGCCCGCGCCCCAGCCTCCGTTTGCGCCGCTGCCCCCGCGTCCTTCCCCACCGCCGCCGCCGCCGACTCCGCCTCAGCCGCTGGTGGGGTTCCAGGTTGTGCTGGAGGTATGCAGCCCCGACGAGTTCTTGGTGGCGGTGGGGCCGGTGGAAGGCAGGGCCTACCCCGGGGAGGCCGAGTGCCTCGGCGCCGTCCAGGACTGTCTCGCCGCGGCTTCGGTACGGTTTGCATCGGTTCTTGCCTTTGAGGAATATTAGACGTTATTCCAGTTTCTGCTTTGATGGGAATGTACAATTCATGAGCTACTCCCGAAATTCGGTGTTTTCTTGGACACCATTATGCTTTTGTTTGCGAGATTTTGGTGATTTTCGTGTTTCTTGACACCAGTCTGTCAAATTCGTGGACATCGGCGAGCTTTTCTTGATAAATAGTTTTTTTTTTTGAAAATTGATAAATAGTTTTTCTTTGGATCCTTCTTTTTGGATGTTGTTGATAATGATTTTGGTATAGACCTGGAACTCATTTTCCCTTTAATGTTGGGTTTTTCTTTGGCTCCATGTGTTTGGATGTTCTTGATAAGGATTTTGGTATGCAACTGGAACTCATTTTTCCTTCAATGTTTGCACTGTTAGGTTGTACAATACTCTGCAACGCAGTCGCTAAGTCAAAGCGCACATCTTCGTCCTGCATTTAAGCTTGTGGACTATGATGTGGTGTTGAAATGCCTTAAGAAATTACCTGGAGCTTCTGTGCAAGAAATACCTTCTAGCACAAAGAGAATTATTCAGGATATACCTAGGTATCCTGGCCAAAAGTGGGCTTCTGATGAAGAAGTAGATGAGCTTCTCAAGAAGCTGCCACAGCAAACAAAAGATGCTCTTTTACCCTTCCAACTTGAAGGGGTGATGTTTGGGCTTCGAAGGCGTGGATGCTGCCTAATTGCAGATGAGATGGGGCTTGGCAAGACTCTCCAGGTGGGCATATAGCATGAATTCTTGCATAGTGCAATCCTTGCTGTTTTGTATATGAGTGCTTTGGGATATTCTTGTGGTGTACATCAATATGAATAGGCTTACCAATTTGCCTATATTAAGGGAGTGAGTGAGCATATTCTCATGCACTTTAATGCAGGCGATTGCAATAGCATGCTGCTTCAAGGATGATGGCTCTATATTAATAGTATGTCCAGCCGTATTGCGTTATTCTTGGGCAGAGGAATTGGAACGCTAGGATCCTTCATTTATGCCAAAAGATATTCATATTAGTATGAGACATCTTTTTTTTTGTCGATGTGAAAGCTGGTTTTTATCGCACTTACGGTATATTGTTTGATCACACATTATGTATCGCAACCCTCTAAGTTCTTTGCTTGCTCTTGATTCAGGCTGAACTCTAAGGACTACTGTATATGCTTTTCAGTTATAATATACCGTTAGCAACGTGGTCATCTAGTAAACCATGTAACCTTTAACTTTTATTATTTCAATCTCACCTTATGTGTGCATAATGTGAAAAATAATGAAATTTTGCTTTCATAAGTTGATTGAAATGCTATAGCCCACATAACATCCCCTGTGAACTATCAAAGACAAGACCATTCAGATGTCTGATACCTAGTGTCTGCTTGGTCTATCTAGGTTGATTTTTTTCTTCAGTTTGACTTACTGACTTGTCTTTGGGATTTTCAGGAACTTTTGGATAAGCTAGCATTTGAACATATTTTAATGAGTTATGTATGTTTTACCTTTTCGTATCAAAAGATGTGATATTCAATCCGAAGCTAAGCTAGCTGCTAACATAAGTTCAAATCTAGAATGCTTTTGGTTCTTAAAGTGTAAATTAAATGGGTTTATTATCGAGAAAATAACTTTCAAATCATAGATTTGTACTTTGGTTGTAAACTGCGCTAGTATTAATGAAAGACCACTGTTTTACAAAATATGGCTAATGTCTTATCACTTCTCCCTTGTGTGATTGACTTTCTAGTTCTGAATATATTCTTTTGATCTTTGTTTCCAGTTCATATAGAGGAAGTATCAAGTGCACAATAGTATATTGGTGCACATATGCGCCAACTCAATCTCACCCCACGGGTCCAATATGAAGGGCTGAAGTGAGGTGGACCTAAGTCAGCCCAAAAGGGATGAGAGAACTCCCACCTCGAACTTGAACCTTTAAGACTGAATATTTGGATCTGAAGGATGGGATTGAGTTTTTGCATATGTTTCACCAGTATGCTCTTGTGCACCTGATATTTCCTATTTTGTATAAGGACCATATGTTTAGATGTTTAAATTATATCTATTATTTTCTCATTTTCAGTATTTGGTCATCAAGACAGTCTTGAACATCTAAATGCTACTCCAAGGGCAGTGATTACTTCTTACCAGATGCTACTTAGGGAAAGTATGGTGAATAGAACATGGGCACTGATGATCGTTGATGAATCGCACAACATACGCTGCACGAAGAAACGAGAAGAAAAATATGAGGTATAGATGTTATCATGAAAAAAATAAACAATCTCATGTTTCAGTACAAGCATACAGCTCTCGAATGCCCCAATCTATGAAGGAGATTCTGTTCCTTGTTATTTGACACATCCTATCATTATTTTTAAGATCAGGACTTTGTTAGGCTTACTTTCCTATATTACAAAAAATTGACTTCGAGATGATTTAGTGAACTTCCACATTTCCTCATCATTCAGCTTGATTCTCCACATGCCTATGCAACAACATAGCCTTTCAGTCCCAAGCAAGTTGGGGTAGGCTAGAGTTGAAACCCACCAAGAGCCCCAAGTCACGGTTCAGTCACTTCAATAGTTGCTTTTCGAGCACTCCTATTCAAACATAGATCTCTAGTATATCCCAAGCTTTCAAATATCTTTTTATTGCCTCTCCCCATGTCAATTTCGGTCCTCCTCTACCTCTCCTCATATTATTAGCTTGGCTTAGGACTTCACAATGCACTGGTGCCTCTGGAGGTCTCCTTCGGACATGGCCAAACCACCTCAACCGATGTTGGACAAGCTTTTCTTCAATTAGTGCTACCTCTAGGCGATCACGTATATCATCGTTCCGAACTCGGTCCATTCTTGTGTGACCGCAAATCCATCGCAACATACGCATTTCTGCAACACTCAGTTGTTGAACATGTCGAATCTTTGTAGGCCAACATTCTACTCCATACAACATAGCCGGTCTAATCGCCGTTCTATAGAACTTGCCTTTTAACTTTTGTGGTACCCTCTTGTCACATAGAATGCCAGAAGCTTGTCGCCACTTGATACACCCTACTTTGATTCTGTGGCTAACGTCCGTATCAATATCTCCATCCCTCTGTAGCATCGATCCTAGATACCGAAAGATATCCTTCTTAAGCACTACTTGACATTCCAAACTCACATCTCCCTCCTCCTGTGCAGCTCCGCCAAAGTCGCATCTCATGTATTCGGTTTTAGTTCTGCTTAATCTAAAACCTTTAGACTCAAAGGTCTGCCGCCATAACTCTAGTTTTCTATTTACTCCCGCCTGGCTTTCGTCCATTAACACTACATCATCTGCGAACAACATTCACCAAGGGATATCCCCTTGTATGTTCTTGGTAACCTCATCCATTACCAAGGCAAAGAGATACATGCTTAAGGTTGACCCTTGATGAAGTCCAATTTTAATTGGGAAGTAATCTGTGTTACCATCGTTTGTTCGAACACTAGTCACAACATTGTTGTACAAGTCCTTGATGAGGGTCATGTACTTTGATGGGACTTTATGTTTGTCCAAAGCCCACCACATAACATTTCTTGGTATCTTATCATAAGTTTTCTCCAAGTCAATGAAAACCATGTGGAGGTCCTTCTTCTGCTCTCTAAACCGCTTCATAACTTGTCTTATTAAGAAGATTGCTTCTGTGGTTGACCTTCCGGGCATGAAACCAAATTGGTTTGTTGATATCTGCGTCGTTCCTCGCAGGCGCTGCTCGATGACTCTCTCCCATAACTTCATAGTGTGGCTCATCAACTTAATTCCCCGATAATTAGTACAACTTTGGATATCTCCCTTGTTCTTGTAGATTGGTATTGATATGCTTCTTCTGAACTCCTTAGGCATCTTGTTCGATCGAAAGATATTGTTGAACATCTTGGTTAGCCATACTATAGCTATATCCCCGAGACATCTCCACACCTTGATTGGGATACCATCAGGGCCCATCGTTTTGTCCCTTTTCATCCTTTTCAAGGCTTCTCTGACCTCCGATTCTTGAATCCTCCGCACAAAGCGCCTATTAGTGTCATCAAACGAGTCGTCCAGCTGAACGGTAGTGTTCTCGTTCTCACCATTGAACAATTTATCAAAATACGCTTGATATCTATGTCTGATCTCATCCTCCTTCATCAAGAGCTGCTCCTTCTCATCCTTTATGCACTTGATTTGGTTGAAGTCCCTTGTCTTCCTATCGCGAGCCCTAGCCATCGTATAAATGTCCTTCTCTCCTTCCTTCGTACTCAAACGTCGGTAAATGTCCTTATAGGCCCGCCCCCTTTGCCTCACTCACCACTCATTTTGCAGTCTTCTTTGTCATCTTGTACTTCTCTATGTTGTTTGCACACCTGTCATGATACAAGCGCTTATAGCACTCCTTCTTTTCCTTAATAGCCTTTTGCACATCTTCGTTCCACCACCAAGTGTCTTTCGAGTCGCATCCGCTCCCTTTGGTCACTCCAAGCACCTCTGAAGCAACCTTCCGAACATATGTTGCCGTCTTTTCCCACATGCTGTTTGCATCGCCTTCATCCTTCTAAGGGCCCTCTTCAATGACCTTTTTCTTAAAGACCTTTGATGCCTCCCCTTCTAATTTTCACCACTTCGTTCTAGCAGCCCTAGCTTGTTTGTTCCCACGAGCTTGCACCAGAAAGCGGAAGTCAGCCACCACCAACTTGTATTGAGCGACCACACATTCTACAGATATCACCTTACAGTCCACGCATGTTTGTTTATTCCTCCTTGTAAGGACAGTCGATTTGACTAGAGTACTGGCCGCTACTAAAGGTCACTAAATGGGACTGTCTCTTACGAAAAAAAGTGTTAGCTATCATTAGATCAAAAGCTATGGCGAAGTCTAAGACTTCCTCTCCCTCCTGGTTCCTACTACCATATCCGAAACCCCCATGAACCGCTTCGAAACCTGCACTTGATGTACCTACATGACTATTAAGATCACCTCCTATAAAGAGCTTCTCGCTACTAGGGACAGCTCTAACCAAGCGATCTAAGTCTTTCCAGAAAAGTCGCTTAGCACTCTCATCATGGCCTACTTGGGGGGCATACGCACTAATTACGTTTAAGATCATATCGCTAATGACAAGTTTAACTAAGATGATGCTATCCCCTTGCCTTCTCACCTCCACCACACCATCCTTGAGGCTCTTATCAATCAAAACACGTACTCCATTTTTATTTGAAGTTGTCCCTGTGTACCAGAGCTTGAAGCCGGTATTGTCCACCTCCTTCGCCTTCTGCCCTTTCCATTTAGTCTCTTGGACGCATAAGATATTTACACGCCTCCTAACCGCTGTGTCCACTAACTTTCTTAACTTACTCGTAAGGGACCTTACATTCTAGCTACCTAAACGGATCCTAGTTGGCTCGACTAGCTTCCTTACCCTTCGCACCCGCCGAGGTAGGTGTGAAGACCCTTGCTCATTTTGCTCTACACCCGGGCGCCGATGTGACGCGCCACTAAGGATGCGACGACCCGATCCTTGCTCACTTGACACCGTGTCCAGATCGCAACACGGCGCGTCACGGGGGTGACGACCCGGCCCTTGCTCATTTAACACCATACCCGGGTTCTGACATGGCGCGTCGCTAATGCGCTTCTATAAAAAAAGGGGAACTAGTTACCACATATGATTCATTTAGTTTTCATATTATTAGTCTGAAATATCAACATTCCACTTGCTTCTTGTATTGACTTGCTTGCCTTGTGATAGACAGAAGCTGTACTGCATCTAGCTTCAAAAACTGATCGCATCATATTGCTCTCGGGGACACCCTCTCTCTCAAGGTTATAAAGATATCCATCATACTCTTTGAGTTCCTTGCGCTATTGAAATTGTACTCTTTATATTTCATCCGTGATGCATGAAAATAGTTCTCTCTTACTATTTATTTTCTCCTAGGTGATAATAGACCTTTTGATATCTACCACCAGATAAATATGCTATGGTAAGTAAAAGAAAATGGCATCTTATTGTCTTGGTCTTATGAAGCTCTTTAAATTGTTCTGTTGCAATATTGTTGTTAATCACCCTACCCCCACTGCTTTCAGGCCCCACATGCTTGGTAGAGATAAATTTGATTATGCGAAAAAATATTGCTTGCTGCATGCTGCACGAAGTTATCAGGGGAAAATATTTAAGGTATGTGATTCCTTGGTTTGTAAAGGCATATCACTGTTACTAGTTCTATTCCCTAAGCTATGGCTCCTATGGGCTGTCTGCAGAGCTGTTGTTCGCTAAGTGGGGTAAAATCTATGCTGTGCATGTAGAAACTAAATATAGCAAACCATGAAATAATGCATGAAAAACTTTTCAACTAGTTTTCCCCCCTTAAAGAAACAGGAGTTCTGCAAACCAGTTAATAATTGTAGTGGTTTATAACAGAAAAGCTCTAGAGCAGGTATTATAGATTAAATGCTACGAAAGAGTGGTTGGATAGATGGTTGCAAGGCAGGACAATCTCTGAACTCGCACCCAATCTATTCAAATTGATCTCCAAAAGAGTGGTAAAGCAACGCCCGGTAGCCCAGGCCCTGGACAGTCGGCGCTGGGTTGTAGATATTAGAGGGGCTTTGACTGTAGAAGTGCTAAGAGAGTATCTGTTTATTTGGGGGCTGGTTGATGACCTGGTTTTACAGCCAACAGTTCCTGATCAGCATAAATGGAAGCTATGTATTACTGGAACATACAGCAGCAGGTCTGCATACAATGCCTTTTTCCTTGGAAGCATCAGGTTCGCGCCTTGGAAGCATATTTGGAGAAGCTGGGCACCCTTGTGGTGTAAATTTTTTGTTTGGTTGGCCATTAACAACCGGTGTTGGACAGCTGATCGCCTGGCCAAACGTGGGCTTCCTCACCCGCCAGCATGCCCGCTTTGTGATCAGGCCGAGCAAAATATTCAACGCATCCTCATCTCATGTGTGTTCGCCCGACAGATTTGAACCCTGATTTTACAAAAGCTGGACCTACTGTCTTTTGCCCCTCAATGATCTAATATTCGCTTCTCTAGTTGGTGGTATGGCACCATCAAAGGTGTTCCAAGGGGTTCGCGCAGAGGCCTCAGTAGTCTGATCATCTTAGTTGCTTGGGAATTAATAGCACTGAAATGCTTGTGTTTTTGAAGGTGCTAGGCCTAGCATAAAGGTTCTGTTTCAATCTGTGGCCAATGAGAGTAATCTTTGGTGTATGGCGGGAGCTTCGGCCTTACATGAGTTCCTTGCTAGGTCGTTGGTCTTAGATTCCTAGGTCATTGGTCGTTTGAGGCAGCTGGTCGTATTTCCTAGTTTCTTTTCTAGTATGCTGTATTGACTAGAAGGGCGGGCTTGGTGCAAGCGGTAGAGTCTTACCGCCTGTGACCGGAAGGTCCCGGGTTCGAGTCGCGGTCTCCTCGCATTGCACAGGCGAGGGTAAGGCTTGCCACTGACACCCTTCCCTAGACCCCGCACAGAGCGGGAGCTCTCTGCACTGGGTATGCTCTTTTTATGTTGTATTGACTAAACCCCATGGGGGTGCCTGGGAGGGGGTTTCTTACTTCCCTCCCTTTTGTATCTTTTTATTCTTCTTAATGAAATGACACGCAGCTCTCCTGCGTAGTTCAAGAAAAAAAATGCTACAAAAGAGAAATGAATTTTGCCGCTAGTATTTTGTGGAAACATTTTCTTAGGTCATTAAGGCTGTAATTTGTTTTATATGCAGGACTTCTCACGGGTACGCTGTTGACAGAGTTAAATGTTTTGCTCAGTCAAACTGTCATGGTTTGTTCTTGCTCTTTCAGCCACTTAAGCTTCATTTCATAGCTTACTATGATCTATTACCTCTGCTCCATTGTGGTAGTTCAATCCATACTGTTTGTTGGTCTGTTATGCTAACTCATGTATCTACACAATTAACTATTTAACGATACTAGCCCTTGGGTTTCTTTTAGCCACCAATTGCACACTACTTTTTTTTTGTTGCTGATGCAATTCTTTAGCCCTCTTTTTTGAGATTTTTAATGGTTCAAAGGCATTTGGCAGAGAAGTGTTACTGTTGGCAAATATTCTAGCAAAAAAAGGTTTACTGTTCTATAACCTGATTTATAAAGAAATGAAGTGCTCGTTTCCTAATAATATGCTTGCCATTATTGAAGACTGTTGCATTGTTTGTCACAAGCCATGCAATCACATGATATATTATGTTGAGATTTGATTGCTTATTAACGTCTGCTCCGTCACAGCTAAAGTTAGCTGCTTCATCTGCTTGCTTCTGTGTATAGATTAGACGGCTGAAGGAGCATTTGTTGAATGAACTGCCCCCCAAGCGGCGACAGATTATTAGGTTGAAGCTAAAGGCACCAGATATCAGGGCAGCCACATCTTCATGCGTCAAAAGGGTGAACTCTAGCAGTTGTAATGGAACTCTTACAGTTGAATTGCCCAGCAAAAGCAATGATGATGAAAATACAAAAGAGGAAGAAGGTATATCCATTGTGCTAACTGCAAACATGAGTTTTCAGTTACATACATATATTAATGAATTTTAATATCAACCTGTGATTTTTCTCTCTTCTGTGTCCACGACTAGTATGATGGTTCTGGTAGTTCTGCATAAATTTGATTATTTTTATTTTTTATCCAGATGATGATTGCAAGAAATCTCCGAGGAATCTCACTCCACAAGAGATTGGTATCGCAAAATTATCTGGGTTTAGTGAATGGTTCTCAAATCATTTCATCATGGATGGATTTGGTGCTAACCATAACCTGGATCCCCAATCTAGCTGTCAGAAAACAATAATATTTGCACATCACTTAAAGGTTCTAGATGGAATACAGGTAAGCTGTTTCATGTTTCTCATATATGCCTTATCTGTCATCATGCTATTAGGTGGTTTGTCCTCACTTAAGGATGTATTTTGATTGTCAATATATTAATGCTATTGGATCCCATTCACATATTAGACGATAGCATCATGAACTATGGACAAGGGTTCCAATCAAAATTATGATGGTTATTTACTTCCATAGTTTGAAATGTATAAGCCTCAGTACTTCTCAAGAACAATTGAGATTTATTGCGATCATGCTTAAGTATTATTCAATTTTTTTATTGAGTTTGTTGACCACTGGAATCCAGGATGAGGCAATTTTATACGTTCGACTGTTTTCACATAGGTGTTTATCTCAGAGAATGGGATCAAATTTGTTCGCATTGATGGAAGCACACTTCAAAGGTAAAGGAAAGAAGCTGTTGATTCTTTCCGTTTGGATCCAGAGGTGCTGCCTCCAGCCCCACCCACCCACCCACCCACCCTTTTGTTGTATTTTCCCCACTTTTCCTATTCCATGTCTAATAACTCCCAAATTTGGTTTAATGTTTATCCATTTTATACTTTTTATTTTAAAAAAGGTGAAGGTTGCAATAATTGGAATTACTGCTGGAGGTGTTGGTTTAGACTTCTCGTCTGCTCAGAATGTTATTTTTGTGGAGCTCCCAAAATCAGCTTCAGAATTGCTTCAGGTCCGTAGCCTTTTTTTTCTCTCTGTTTGCTGTTGCAAATTTTTTTCAACCATTACAGAATGCAGCTTAAGTGGTGGAACAATATTTGGTTACTTTCATAGTTAATTGAAATGCCAATGTGATCCTGATTGTTAATTTGTGCACACATTAGTACTCCCTCCGAAGGGCGGGCTTGGTGCAAGCGGTAAAGTCTTACCGTCTGTGACCGGAAGGTCCCGGGTTCGAGTCGCGGTCTCCTCGTATTGCACAGGCGAGGGTAAGGCTTGCCACTGACACCCTTCCCCAGACCCCGCACAGAGCGGGAGCTCTCTGCACTGGGTACGCCCTTTATTAGTACTCCCTCCGTTCCAAATTAGAAGTCTGTTTTAAGTCAAACTTATCTAATTTTGACCAAGTCTACAGAAAAATGTAACAACATTTTTAACACCAAATTAGTTTCATTGAATCCACCATGCAATATATCTTGAGAGTGCACTTATTTGGTACTGTAGATGTCAATATATATTTCTATAAACTTCGTCAAACTGTCAGAGTTAGAAAAGTTTGACTTAGGACAAAGCCAAAGTGACTTTTAAAATTTTGGAATGGAGGGAGTAATTAAGAGGTTGCTGAGAATATCTTTCACTCTGTTGCTATTAGGCTTAGGATAGAGCTCATAGACGTGGCCAAACAAATGCGGTCAACATATATATATATATTCTGTGGAAAGGTCAGTTCGTTTGTTTTCCTTTGCAATTTGTTCTGTAACTTGTCATTGTAATGGCAAACATAATAATGTTGGTCTTGCAGAACACATCGGATGAATCACACTGGCTCCAGTTAAACCAGAGTCTGTTCCATGTCTCGTCTTTGATGAATGGAAAAAAAAAGATGCTGTAAGGGAGATTGATGTAGGTCACACATTAAGACCCTGTTTTTTTTTCACAAAGTTCAGAATATTTATCGTTTGTAAATTGCCATGTTATACTATCATTTGGCAGATTGGAAGGGCTGTTGTGAGATCTAAGCTTGTAGTGTGTAGCCAGTGTCAGTTAACCTGGGATATGTACCAGCCTAACAGGCAACATTCAGTGCCTTAATAAATCTGATAGAGTACACTAATTGGAATATTAGCCCCTTAAAAAATCTGCTGAACCTGTCTGAATAGTTTGTATGATAAGGATAATTCCTCTTTTATCTATTCTTCGTTCTTTCTTTGTAAGGTTGATCAAGTGTGCCAACTTGAGGAAATCAAGACCACCGAGGAGGAAACACAATGCAAACTTCATCCTTTGGAGAATCATAATGCAGGTAAAACTAATGCTGATTGCTGAACCCATGTCGATAACTATCTGATTTTACTAAAACAAATGCTGAGTTGTTTGAGGTTCATGCAGATTGACCCATGGACCAAAATACCTTTTGGAAAGTGATGATTTGTCCATCAATGGTTTTCTTGGTATCGAAGATTTGGAACTTGACTCGGATTTCACCATTAGGACAATTCCTCTTGAATTTGAGGTAAAAAGGAGATGCTCCATTTAATATTTGTCAATTGCTTCATACTTGCCACTTGTTATTTCTTACTTATTGATTATTGATTGACAAATGATTCTTCCTGTGCTTATTTCCCTATATTAGGATGAAAGACCTGGCATATCCTTGAAAAATAATCCAACTCCAACAGTACTTGAAGACAGATCTTGTATTGATGTTTCTCTTTCGCCAGCTGCAGCCTTTTGCTCTGTGATATCTAGTTGTAAATCAGTAAAGGTGATAAACTTTCTTTGCTTTCTTTAATCATATGATGTTTATACATAACAATCTAATTGCTGAAAAATGTTAGGCTCGTAAGAGGCTTTCTGGAAATTCTGGGTCCTTAAGTCAAGCTGCACCTGTTCCAGATTTTCCAATTCAAGTGGAATCTCTGCGTTTTGAGGTTAAGGCACTTTTTTACCTACTTGTTTGTTCTATCTTTTGTCTGTTGTTGTGACTGTGCTCTTTCTATTTTTCGAGGTTAAAGCACTCTGAGACCTAGGAATATTAGTTTTTTCTATGATGTTATTATGCTGTGGGGAGAGGAGGGGATAACTACTGCAATGTCAGCCCTTTCATAATCTGCACTCGTTTTGGGAGATGGCAGATGCGTTTCGTGTTCTCTTAGGTGAAAAGAATATGATTGCATGTGCTATGCATGCATTATCGTTAATGGGACTAAGAGGCTTTTTTGTTCTTGTATTCGGTAAAAATACGACAGTTGTAGTTAGGAAGCTAGTCGATTTATTTTTCTATAGGATATTGACGTGGCTAGCTTAGAGAGGAGAATGGGAATGGGGGGAAAAGAATAGTGGAGATAGAGACTGTTGAAGGCGTGGGGCTTGTGAACCATCCTGTTGCTGACTCAACTATGCATGTGCGCTGGATGGCCATGTCAGTGAAGCTTGAACATGTAGCTGTCCCATGAGCTAAAATCACAGTGATTTAGGTCGAGAAAGTTGGATTTTATCTTTTCTTGATAGCGAGTGTGTAAAGCATGCTGTTTCATAGTTAAAGATGAGATTTTCTTCACTAAATTCGTCTGAAGTATCATCATCTTGTGCAGGTTAGCCGGCACACAGGCCGAATCCACTTGTACAGTTGTGTTCCTGGACATGATTCAAGACCCAAACCACTTTGTGAAAATTTTCTGCCAGAAGAATTGAATTCACCTTTATGTTCTCCCAGTGATGTTAAAACAAGAACTCTGCTCTTGAAAAAGATTCCTGCATTTTGCAATGTGTTCAAGGCATTCATCAAAGAGTGGATGGCACTAAGACCAATTGATCAGAATAAATTGCTTGGAAAGCCATTACAACTTCCCTTGAGCCTTGAGTTGTGTTTTCTGAAAGATAGCATCAACCATAGCCTCGAAGTATGGACCGACCTGTTGACCTCATTTGATTCTTCTCTTTACACACGCAATCCGGCTTTGCTTATGAACATTGCACGCCATGTTCAATAACAGTTCTGTTCATTTTTTTTCCAAAGAAATTCTACATATCTAAATGATACACGTCTTTGTTCAATGATACAACATGCAATTATGTGGAATTTGCTCAAGGATGTCAAAATATTCTGAAATCCATCTTCATATTAACACCACCAAAAATCCCCTTCTGGCATCCCAAATTAGTACTATATTTTGGATATGGTAACTACTACCATATTGTACTTTAGGTAGGAATGCTGGAACTGGTACATGCTATTTTAAGTTTTTGACTATATGTATTCTGTATCATGGCACATTTTAGTATAGAATCATAATTGTTTATAGCCGACTTATGTCACCTGACGCTGTTATTATAGATCAAGCTACTTAATTCAATTAAGGGTTCAAATAGTGTTCAGTGTAAAACAAGATTCATATGGGTGTAACTTTGTTAGCCTATTACAGTTGCTCAGGCCTTAGTTAGCATTCAGTGCTGTTTTTTTTTTCACATTCGGCTATTGTAATGTTTTTACCTCTTGAAATGTTATTAGTTTTGCTACACACTGAAAGCTTATTATGTCCAAAGCAAGAGCACACAAAATCATCGTGCTAAAACAGTATCTGTACATATACGAGAAGCAGCACTCCATGCATATCACCTTTTGCGAGCTGTACTAATCAGTAGCAGAGCCAGAAGCTTTTAGGAGCCCGGGCGATCCTTACTATGCAAAAATAGTTTGCTATCAAATTACAGTGTTCTTTGATGTATAGACAATTTTCTTTTGAACTCTTTGCGCTCTTATGTCGCCTGACGCCGGGGTGGCCGGGCGGTGGCAGTGTTTACCTATTTTTAAAGCTTTGCATGAAATGCACAAGTATTTATTTTGGTGTTCCTCAGCTTGATGAATATCTCTGTCACTTTTTCCTTGTTCTGGTCTGCTTTCATTTTAGGGGATACTTAAAGGGGGAAGTAAGAGGCGTGCCGCACCATTGAATGGTGTCAGTAATCCTTTGCCAGAAAATGCTGAATGGAGACAGGTGGTGTTGCGTAATGGCACCTGTAAAGAGAGACAGTACACTCAGGACTGGACCATTGATGATGAACCTCTCTGCAAACTTTGTCAAGGACTTTGCAAGTAACGACTCCTTAACTTGTGTTTAGAAGTAAATCCTGTTTTGTTATTATAAACAAATAATATTTGCTCACAATAATGTTGTTTTACTTGGTTCAGTGGAAGGCTTGCAAAGTCACCAGAATATTTTGAAGATCTATTCTGTGGTCTAGCTTGTTTCCAGGAATACAGGTTAAGAACCAGTGGCAGGGCCCTGCGGCAGGTGAGCCTTCTTTCTGTTATCCACATAAGTGAACTTTTTTTGTAGGTGGGGTTGAATAGGTAGGACTAATTTTCAGTTATATAAAATCAAAGAAAGTTGCAAATTAATTCATATATATGTAATAAAGCTTCTTGGTAATTATCTGCAGGCACTGTTTCAAATAGAACGTGGTAAGTGCTCCCAATGCAAGCTCGATTGTTACAAGCTTGTCAAACACATTAAACCCTTACCCTTGGAAAAACGAGAAGAATACATCAGAAAGGTTGCTCCAAACATTGTGAGTAGAAAGAAACTGTAAGTGCTGCACATTGATATCATGTTTTTCCATATTCTTTTGCATATCTATAGGGGGCTAACAGAGTCGTGTGGTTTAAACTCTTTGAGTATTATCATGTATGTATAATTATCCTGTTAATTTGTTGCTTTGATGCTGATTTCCTGCATCTACCACAGCCTAGATAAGCTTGTCCATGAGCCAATTGATGGAAATGCTTGGCATGCAGATCACATAATGCCTGTCTATAAAGGAGGAGGTACGGTATATGTGCAAAAGTTTTGTGCAGTTGACTCTTGAATGGCATGATAATCTTTCTGATAAGTTTTGTGCAGTTGATTGTTGAATGGCATGATAATCTTTCTGATTTTCTATCAGGGGAATGTAAACTTGAGAACATGGGAACACTGTGTGTGGCTTGTCATTATGAGGTCACCAGAGCTCAGCACAAGGAACTAAAAGAAATAAGAAAGAAGGCTAAAGAGCACCTGAAAAACGCCTTGAATAAACAAAAGGATAAAGTTAGTAGTCTCTCCTGTAGACTTTAATTATTTTTGTATCATTTTTGCAAATAAAAAAGAGCAAATGTTTTTTGAGCAACGTACTTCTCTGTGAAAGCTACTAGAATGAGTAGAATGATTTCTCCATTACTATATGCTGTACTTATACAACAGTGAGTGTACATGTAAGGAAAAAGAATTAAAGTGTTCTAATGTCATCTAGCCTAAACAATACAGGTTGTACATGCATATATGATCTGCTATTAAGGCCAATAATGGCTAGGATATTGCCTTTCTAACACTCTGGACAACCATATGCAAATTATATGTTGTTGCCCACGTTTGTGTATTTGTTTCTCCTAAATTGGCTTTTGTTATTACTATTATTCCATTTCTTATCTTTCCTTTCACTGCAGCCAAGTGAAGGAACAGAAGAACTAGATGACGAATTTTTGCTGGTAGCCGTCCCGGGCAGTGCCTACTCCTTAGGATTTCCTGGCAATGTTGCTGATGAAAAAGCTGCTGAATAGGGCATCGTTCATGTACCTTGAGGTTATTGTTCAAAAAGGTCGCTGGTCTTTTTCACTTGCGCGCCCCTTTTTTGTGCATGTTAAATGCAACCAAGCGCTTGTTGTACTTTGTGTGTGTGGGTGTGTCTTGACAACAATCTCCATCTTCAGTGGCGACTTTGTTGTCAATTGAACAATATTACTGCAGTTATGGAGCAGTTTTAACAGGGGAATTGAATCAACATATACTTCATCTTGTCAGATGTTGCTGTAAGGAAATTTTGAACTAGTTTAAGTTACATCAGGTTCTGACAAAAAGGGGGAAAACAATAGTTTAAAACTTTTGTACATGCAACTGGACATTTTGTTTGTCGTTTGCTATTCCCTCTGTTCCAAATTGTAAGTTGTTTTGATCTTTCTAGGTACTCTGCCCTTAAAGAATGTAAATTTCACTTTTCAAATATTCTCAAATTTGACTAGATTTGTAGAAAATAGTATTATTATTTGTATTTCTAAATAGGTTCATTATGAAAACATAGTTCATAATTAATCTAGTGATACGTATTACACGTTATAACTTATTATGTTTTTTTATATATTTGGTCAAAGTTGATACTGGTCGACTCATTGAGAAGTTGCATTCTTTTTGGGATGGAGTTCGTAAATTTTGCTACCAGTATCTAGATAGATCGATACATATAAAAAACTATGTACATGGATGGAGTAAACCTGTATGATTTATTTAACGTGTTAACAAAATAGAACCTGTGACATGCAAAGCTCCCGAGTAGGCTAGTCTGATAATGCTACGCTCCGCGAGACGCACGGCCATGGTGCTGCTCCCGCTTGTTTACTGCAGGTGGGAAGCGAAAAAAAGAGAGTAAATTTCACCGACGGTCCTCGAACTTGTCTCGAGTTCTTGTCTAGGTCCCGATACTTTTAAATTGTACATTTAGCTCCTTAAACTTATCCTAAGTTCTCATCAAGTCATGATACTTCATATAGGTACCGATACTTTTAAATTACACACTCAAGTCCCTAAATTTGTATTGTTGTACCATTATGGTCCATCCTCACCATCGTCCTCACCTTCGCCAAATGGCACATGCATGCCCGCCTTACCGGCGTAGCTATGTAGCACTGCACCATGCTCGACCTCCTACCCCGCACCTACCTATGTTGCATCTTCATTGCGGTGCCTCACCCATGCTGCCATGCTAGGTCAGGTCGTGCCCACTGCACTGCCACACCACGTGCTCCACTCATCCTATTGCACTGTACTGATGGCCCTATCGTTGTCGAGGGAGGTGAGGAAGACTGGGAGTGTGGGGAACTAAGTGTGAAGAGGTGGTGAGAATGAGCATGCTCCTACTCAACGAGGGAGCAGAAGGAATGTGGTGGCAGCAGTGGTGGTGTAGAATGTGATTGACGCGAGGCAAGGGGTGATGCCACGGTGAGGTGGAGCAAGAGTGAGTCAAGCGGAATCGAGGAGGGCCATAGCAGCGAAGGCTTGGACCGGACGTGTGGTAGGGCAAGCACGACAAGGACGGCCAAGCGGTGAAGTAGGTCCTAGGAAGCTAGTTCTGCACATGTAACGCAGTGTATGGGGAGGCGATGGACCGGAATGGTAAAATAATACAATTTTAGTGAGTTGTGCATGTATTTATGAGACAAGTTTAGAGAGTTAAATGCATAATTCAGGACCTAGAAGAGAACTTGAGACAAGCTTAGTAGTTAAACGAGCAATTTAAAAGTATCGGGACCTAAATAAGAACTCGAAACAAATTTACGGAGTTGAATGTGCAATTTAAAAGTAACCGGATCTGGATGAGAACTCGGGACAGGTTCAATGACCCCAAGTGAAATTTATATATAAAAAAAACTGCTCATGCTCTGCTCCCGTTGTCGTCCGGTACCTCGCCGCAGTTCTCCGCCTCCACCCTTCTTCGCCAGTTCACAGCCGGCCGACCTCAATTTGTGCGAGGAGCACGGTTCTCTAGTGCCGACCCCCATCTGGCCGACCTCAATTTGTGCGCGGAGCACGGTTCTCTAGTGCCGACCCCGATCTGTGCAAGGAGCTCTCGATTCACCGCCATCAAACCTGGCTTGGCCACTTGCTTACTTTATGCTGCTGTGGCCTGGAGATGGAGCAGCAAGAAGCTGTACAAAACAGTTTAAACGGGGACCTAGAGCGGCTGGAGCAGCAAGCAGCAGGAGCTAAAGTGACGAGAATCGCTTTAGAGCGCTACCAAATTGGCCCCGCCGAATAATCTGTTGCGGAATCTCCAATCCGTCTCCATCGTTCAAATGTTTGATTGACGACCTCCAAACTGAACATGTCGTAGTTTCAAAACTAGTAAAAGACAGTAAATTAAGGACAGTTCTTCTTCCATATGAAATCAGATTTTTCTCATCAGTTTTTTTCTTCTGTATTTCTGTACAAACAGTGCATTGCTTCCGTACATGACTTATTTTTTTATCTGTAGAAGATTCAACCAAAATATCAGGTCAGGAAACCTTTTCGGCCAAACGTCCATTTCCCTAATGTTTCGAGAATCAGTCTGAAGCACCATCCTTGCAAAATAGTAAATTCAGTAGCTCGTGCTATATAAGTTAGGTGAACTACAGAGCCGATTTCATGTCTCACTGCAGAAGAAGAACTCGGCTCTGTCCAAGAAAGAAGCTGGGATCTTTCTATGCAACATGAAGCTCGATGAAGCTTCTTGAGCTCTTTGCTTCAGAGGCCCATCGTCAACTGCTCTTGTTCCCCTACCATCCTTTTGAACCTTATTTCTGTTGAACCTGATGCCCCCTGAAATACCCTTCCCAACAACTGGCCGTCCAATTTTGCGGCTTGACCTTTTTGGGATGTCACCTTGTGAGTTCCTGATCTCCAGAATGCTTTCATTGGAATTGTTTCCAGAATCATCCACAGCAGTGGAATCTGGAGAATTTGATCCAGAAGTTTGGCAGGACTTGAGCAAGCAACGTAGCATATCCGTGCTTATTTCCTGTTGTACAACACTTCGGTTCTGATCGCAACCATAGCAAACGGCGATCAGAGCAGCAGCCAAGATGGGCATCAACTCGGGGTCGCTGAAGAAAACAAATGGCAGGTCGCACACCTGTTTTCTAACTCGTCAGATTTTTTGCACAACTCACAGAAATTGAAAGGGACATGGCTACACAAACTATTATTTACCTTGTGAAGTATGGTGGGACTCTTTCCCCACCGAAGAACAGCTTGGTTCCCAGCATGGAACAAAGAAAAGTAGCCAAGAAGTAGCAGTGACTCTAGAAGCAGCAAACCAACCTAAAAAAAAAATAGCACAAATCCTTAAACCTGAGAACAGGGGAGCGAACAAAAGGTGCAGTTGTTAAAAAAAGCAGCCATTTCAGGAGAAAAGTGCAAACAATAGTCAAGCATGAGATTCAGAAAATGGCAGTACGTCCAAATTTCTTGGTAATAATATCCAAAAGGGTCACAAATGGTCAAGACCGACAGAAACTATAACATGATCCAGTACCCCAAGTCATCAACTTTCTACGACATGCATTCATAATGGACATTACAAGGTGGAACATTTTATACGCACACTATTTCTTTTATAACAAATATGCACACTAGTCATATATCTAATGTAAAACGCCTGTTCAAGAAGTACAGATAATATTAAGACCATAGTTAATTAAAAAGAGCTGACATTTGTTCAAGAAGTACAGTTAGTATTAAGATCATAGTTAATAAAAAGAGCTGGTAGCTATATTCTAATGTCTCCTCCAGTGACATAAAAACTGCCACCTAGTCAGACATACAGCAAACTACAGAGGCGCAACTTGCTATCATTATAGAGAAGGAAGAACTGAGTGCGCAAAACTAGTAGAAAGTATTGCACAAAAACAAGTTGAAAGTGACTGAATGTGCAAAACAAGTTAAAAGTAATTGGTGCAACTTGCTATCATTACAGACAAGGAAGAACTGAATGTGCAAAAACTAGTAGAAAGTATTGCACAAGAACAAGTTGAAAGTAACTGAATGTGCAAAACAAGTGGAAAGTAATTGAAAAAAATGGATATTTTAAACTTAAAATGGACCACAAAAGAACTCATGTTGGGAATAGATGAAGACACCTGATCGTTTGGCACTCTCCATTTGTTCATGCAATGACTCAGAAGGAAGCTGATTAAATGGAAGAACTCCATCTTTAGATCTGATCTAGCCTGAAAATAATGCATAACCAGTAAGAAAACAAACTTCTGGAGGTAAATAAAAAACAAATGTAATATTCTAAAGATTCCCATAGCCATATTGTGGGGTTTTCCGGACAGAAAAATTATGCCTGGAACCTGTCTACTAAATTTATAATGTTATCATGGCCAATGATTAGTGTAAGAAAGCAGGTAAGTTTGCGCCTGAGACTACATTGATTTCAGTCACTGATAACATCCGTCCTTTTCATGAAGAGCACTTACCAGCATGTGCTGCAAAAGGGTTATATCCAAACGCGCCACATTATTCAAAACTTTCAATACGCCAGTGGCTACTTCTTCAAAATTTGACGGAAGAATCGCCAATGTCTGAAAAACGAGTTATTTAATTTTCCAGCAAGATTAAAATTCAATAAACATGCAAGATTTACTCTGCTAACTACAGAAGAAGATAGATTCCCATGGCATGAAAACTCTTGTTTCTGCTGATGTTGTAACGAAAGCCTAATAAGAAATAAAAGCACGCTAGAAAACGTGTACACACCATTTTAACATTTTTGTTACAAGAACACAAAGTACCTATTTTGATGATGTGGTATACCCATTGCTAGGCATATCAAATAATCTAAATGTGTGTGTGTGAAAAACATAAGATCTATACAGATATTTAGTTTGGAGACAGCATAACAAAATTACTAAAAAAAAAAACATTGCACCTCAATATAGCAGGTGGACAAACCTGTTCCGATGATGACCTGTTGTTGTTTGCCTGGAGCAACACAGCAGTCAAAAGTGATGGTAGACTAACAAGGCCAGTCTCAGCCAGTGCAGAAAGTAAGAGCATTACAGGCTGCTTAAGATTCGTTTCATTGCCTTTTCCAGGACTATTATACAATGCACATACATTATTCACCTTTCTTCCTTCAAGAAAACTGTCCACTGTGCTATTTTCATCTCCCTGGCTAGGACTTTCAGAATGCTTCTCTGTAGTAACGCCCAAATCAGACGGTTGCATTGCTGAGTTGTTCAGGCCAGCAGAGATCACTAATAAGTCTTTACTAGCTTCATCAACCAATTTTCTGTCCACTGGAATGCTGAAGTCATGTTGTCTACAGGATTTGCTATCTTCAGCCAGTTCACTGTATATGGTTGGCGATTTGGCATCACCAGATTGATCAAGTGTCAATGATTGGCACCCCACACTGTCCTGTGAACTAAGATATTCATATTCTTGCACTATATTTCCACCTAGTGTCCTGCATTTGCAGGACTCCCAATCAATAGTAGAGAAATTTCCGGGTTTCGATGTTAAGACAGACAAAAGGTTGAGACCAAACAGTATAGATGATGGGAGTGGGGATCCTTCAACCTGTGGCCTATCATAAAGGGCAAACAGATCTCTCAGACGATGTATTATTTGATAAGCTACAATCAGTTCTATCAAACCTCCCTGCATTTGAAGTTGTTCATCATTGATGTGTACATGGCCAACGATCATGGTCACAGTCCATAAAAATCCATCTAACACTTCACCTGATGACTCTGTATTCTCAATTGATGTTTTATTAGACAGAAGATTTGAACTTCCAGAGTTGGATGCTGCCACCTTAATATAATTCTCCAGTGATGCTGATAGCATGGGAATAATTGGGGGTAAAAGATTTTGTACTAGAAAATAAGTTCGATTAGCTGGAAGTGAGAGCAACACTCTCAACAGGCGCAAAAGGTAGACAGTGACTTGACAAGCTCCAGGCTTTGAAGTATGTGATGCAGGTAATGCGGATGCAATGAAGTCAAGCAAACCAACTTGTCTTGATGCATGCAGCTCAAGATCCTTCCCTTCTAAATACTAAACCAAAATAAAGAGAAAACGGTATTAGTAAACATAGTTAGCACTATAGTACAAACAATACATGAGGAATGAGAAGTACCTTTGTTATGTCATTGACAATCAAACCAATACTGGCAGCACCTTCTTTTCTAGCTTGGCGAAGTCTCTGAAGGTCTTGAAGCCATCTACTTAACTTAGCTTTGGCAGCTCCAAGAGCAGCCCTGTGCGTGATTCCTGTACTTTCACCTATGGATGGTTCAATAAATTCATGCTTTAGAGCCATTAATCTCTGGCGAATCTTTTTAATCCTTCGTTTTGTCTGCACATTATTTGATGACTTAGCCATAGAATCTGCAGCGCTGGAATTGCCAGTTGTATGTGAATCTTCTCCGCTGTTAGCAGAACTAGAACGGTTTTGGCCATCTTTACTTGGAAAGCGACGCTGAAAAGGTGAAGGCTGATCCCTAAGATCCATTGAGGCTCGCTCCCGTATTTGTTCTAGGTAATACTTGCGCCGCTGCTCACTTTCACGAAGCTTTTCAGCTAACTTTTGGGCTAAAAGTTCAGCTTCCTCTTGTTGCGCTTTTGCTCTTATCTCTTTTCGACGTTGTTGTTCTGCAGCCCTTGCTTCTCGTGCAGCACTAGATGCTTTGCGCTCCTCTTCTCTTCTGAAAATAGCTTCTTCTTTCTTGCGCTGTATTTCAGCAAGGCGCTGCATCTTCTCAGCTTCCAGGAACTTTCTTCGTTCCAAAACAGCTTCTTCCCTTGCAGTGTCCTCCTTTTGCTTTGTTTTGATCACCTGTAGCTTTTCAGCTCTCCGCATTTCAGAATCATGAAGTTTCTGCCTCAGCAAGAATTTCTTGTTTTCTTCATTCAGTGATGTAATAAAACGGACCTCATTGACCTTAGTACTCTCATCACCAGCTCTTTTTGCAACCTGAGCAAGATATGCTTCGTGACGAGATTCGCCACGTTGATGGCGTGCATTCATTACTTCTCGCAGTTTTGAGCTGCGCACAGCCTGCCACTCATTGACACGATGCAACTTTTCAGAGGTACGCTGTAGCCTCTGAACCCTCTCGCTCTCTAGTTGACTCCTGATTCGCAGCGCTCGTGCATGCTTTTCTTCTGCTTCTTTTTTCATATCCAAAGCACTTCTTTTTTTCTTTTCAGGAGACATCAACTTGTCATGTAGAACACGAGCACGATCTGTAACTTTTCTTCCAACACCAGGAGAATGAGAAACACGAGAACTCCGTACAGGAGATTTCAGTATATCTTCCCAGTTTCTTTTCTCCTTCCAGGCATCCATGGACTTCCAAGGTGCTGTAATTTGTTTTTCCTTTTCAAGATGAACTGTACTCTTTTTAACAACATCAGTTGACTTGAGCCTGTCAAATTTGTTTTCTGGCAACTCCCTGTCCTTCTTAAAGGTGTGTTTCTCTATTTCAGAGATTGGTTCTAGTGACCCTCTTCTACTCCTTGCAGAATAGGAAGGCATACTTTGTGGATATGATTTACCAGACTTGAATGCATCCCTACTTTGCTTCTCGCCAGCAATCTTTTTCTCACTAGTATCAGGAAGTTTCACCTGACTCTCAACTTTCAAACTTATATTCCTAACAGTTGCTGATGCTGTAGTCAGCTTTGACGAGCTACCCAAAACTTCTTCAGAAGAGCTGGATGTAAATCTCTCTGCTGTTATACCAGCCTGCTTGCATGCCAGTTCCAATTGGATTCTCTGGAAGGCCTCTAGAGATGAAGACAGTATTTCTTGCCTGTGTGGAGAACTTGTCATCCTTCTGACCTGCTTATAAGATGTACCAAGCATGACTTTAGAGCACTGAAATACAGCTGGAAAATTTTATCACGGAAGGAAGGAAAGGAAAACATGCAGCTATTATTTTTGTAAGTTCTCAATCTAGCAACACATCACAGTGAAGATACCATTCCATATGCATGCCCTACATCAGCAGGCTTTTCCAGTATGTCAATGAATCATAATAGACGGAAGTGAAAATAAAACACAAGAAATCAGGATGCCTAGTGAGAAAACAGACCTCCCAAGACAAGGCATGAGGTCTCCTATGGTCAGCTTTCACAGCCATTGGCATGCCCTCCTTTGGTACACCAGGAGATTTTTTGGTATTATCAAAATGCTCTGCTCTGGATTTAAGTTCTTGAAAATCGGAAATAGCTTCTTCAAGGACAAGTATGGATTCATTAATCTGTTCCATGTCACATTCTAGTTCACAGAGGAGGTAAAGTTCATCAACAGCCCTATTCAGATTCTCAAAAAGAAAACACCATAGCCTCTGCCTGAATCTTTCTTTGCTCTCAGCACTTTCAGATCCAAAATCTGCAGAAGCAGAAACTGGTGCTTGGTCATGAAGTAATGTTCTACCTTCCATGGAAGATGTAACTGGAACTTCATGATCATTATTGGAGCAGGATAAGGAAACAGAGTCAGCTGAGGCTATTGAACCATTAACATTTGAAATACTCTTATCATCATTGGGTGTCTCTGTTCCCTGTACCATAATCGGAGATGCCTCATCAATCGTAGTTGTAGTACAAGTGTCCATCTCCACTTTGAGTTCACTTGCATCTTTTTGCACATTTTTTAGATGTGCAACATCTTCACTATGTCTGTGGCCTCTAGAAGAATTATTATCTCTGAATGAATCTGAAGGTAATGATAGACCTGGAACTTCATCAAAGTCTCCAAACTTGACAGGAGTATTGGACAAAACACCTACTGACTCTGTTTTGGGATAACATTTTACATGCTGAGCACGTTTTGCAGGACTGTCTGAACCGGTGGTGGGTTCATGAGGCAGTGAAGGATCTACATGATCAGCCAGATCAGTTTTGGGAGGTTCACTTGTTTCTTCAGCCACCACCAGTTCTTCAGGTCTTTCAACTATATCCTCTGAGGCTGAAGCATTTAAGCCACTATTCAGGCCACTGACACTGGTGCCTAAATCATTGCATCCTTCACCAACATTTGTTGCTTCTCCACTACCAGATTCATCAACACCAACATTAGCATTTATGCTCGGAGGTGGGTATTGCAGCTTGTCATGCCACCTTGAACTGTCACTGTTACAGTTAGCACGTGACCGTGATGGTAAGTTTGGAATTTTATGGCTGGAACCACCTGAAGACCTCTGCAATGTGTATTTTGAGCTGGACCGATGCTTCTGTAAAATGGGTGTATAGTGAATTAACAACAACAATAAGAATGGGCCCAGCATAATAATGCAGAAACATACGAGAAAATAATGACCAGAGCAAAATAAGAGAAAATAAGACAGGCAAAGAACATTACCTTTTTCACTTCAAACCACCCTGATCCCAGGTCATCCACATCGCCATTGTCATTATCCATAACCAGTTAACCACCGAACGATTATCAGTGGTTCCTTAAAGCATTCTTGCTGTCCCAGACAACAATTTCGTGATAATACACTTGCTGCCAAGGAAATATTTGAGCTAAATTATTTTTAGAGTGACAAAAAGGGATTGCAAAATCACACATTTTTCAAGACAATCGATTGGTGATTATGTCTAGTCCCTCAGCTAAAAACTACTAACTGACACAGACAAGAATCGCTAAACCCTAAAACCAAAATGCACTATTAAAGTTTAACAAGGAACTAGACAGAAGAGGGTTCACTTGGAACATTGACAGATAAACAGCCAAAATGCACTATAATTATTAGGCACGCTAGAAGAGCCTAACTGAACATGGACGGGTTAATTGATGGACTGGGTAAGTAGGGCACCACGCAGCACAAAGAACTAAAAGCTACAACCAACACAACTGACGGAGACAGAAATGAGCATGGGCTTGATCGAGAACAGCACCAACTCTTCAACGACAAAAAAATAATCCGTCCGTACGTCCAAGAGGGCGGGGCGAGGATCACTCACCGACACGAGAAGGAACGCGACTTCACCGCACCCCCGACAGAGAGAGGAGCAGCGGCGGGCCAAGGATCTGACGGGGAAGGAGTTAGCGGCGGCGGCGGCGCTGCTCTGCGCTTGGCGGCGGCGAGGCGCTGGGCCTCTTGGGGTTAACGCCCTGTCGAGCAGCGCAATCGAGACTCTCACCGACGCCTGCTTCGTAGCTCGCCAGGCCCAGTGAGGCCCAACAACACCACAGGAGTCAATAGCGCAGTGGAAAATTCCTCCCTGGGTCGGCCGCGGCGGCGCCCGCCGACGCTCTCCGTCTCCGGCGATGCTGCCTTCGTCCTCACGGCCCCCGGCCGGTCTCTCTCCCCGTGCTCTGCTATGTGATCATGGCCTCCGTCCGTACTCCTCCCTGTGTGCTCCGGGGCTGGGAGTAGTGGGGGAGGAGTGGGGCTTCCCCAAATCTCAAGGAAGACCCTGATGTGCATTTGGCTTCTAATTGCTGCAATTAATATAATAATTGCATGTTAGCGCGTCCTGCACTGCATCGCCTTTAGTTTGTTCTATAGTTGTTCTATAAATCATTACCTGATCGGTTGATGTATTTAAAGAAAATCAGTAGTTGGCGATGAATAACTAATATTATCAGATTCACCACGATTTTTTTTTCGTAATCTACAATTAATTTTTATTTAAAATGCTGTATTTTCTATGAAATTGCTAATTAATGTGTCACTTTTGTAGATTGCGTTGGCATCCTAAACGGCTTGGGTATAAATGCGACCTTATATAGAAAAAAAAAATCATTGTGCCGCATGGACCAGTAATTCGCAGCCACACTTTGAATATATTTAGGGAGATTTTTCATTCAAAGGATAAATAGACAGAAAATGGAGCCACACTCAAATTTCAGCCCAAGATGACTCCAACCTGAACCCATCAGCAGCAAAATGTACACTTTCTTACAACATTTCCTTGGAGAACAAACTTGATTTAATCCGTGCACTTTCTTTTTGTGCGTCGGAGAATTGAAGAGTAGAAAATCCTGTGTCTTGCTTCAAAAACCGTGATGGCAGATCCTTGCAGGTAAATTTCGTGACAGACGTGAAATCTTAAGGTAACACTTTCACTGCCAGGGGAGCTTAACTCCCATTGAAAGCTTACAATGTGAAATTTAACTAAGGCAACAAATGCATATGCATTTACAGTTGGTCAAATGCACACTCAAATGTACATGCTATTTGGCGATCTACCTTCCTACCCGCCGTCACCATCTGAAGCTTCACCAGGACGCCACTCTATTAGAGCTCGGTTCTGTGACTTCTCATCGATGTGGTTGGAACTGGGGGGTCTGGCACCGCCTGACGGTCCTTCGATCGAGCAATTAGACAATTCTATCAACATTGCAGAGAACCCGCAAGAGCAAGATTTGCAAGCTGTGCCCAGGTTCGTCATGGAGTTAAATCTCTACAGTGTAATAAATGGGGGCGCATTAGTACCATGATGAAGTGACCAACCTCAAAGAACGGAATACTGTAAAGAGTACTCATCTTGGATGTCATGTACATGTATCACGTTCATCTACATCTACATGCACATACCTCCAAAGCAGCCTTCAACTTCTTAATCTCCATAGCTTGTGTGTGAGCTAGTTCATGTGATTCCTGCAATCGCCTAAGTGCCCCACTCAACTTTGTCTTCTCTTTGGAGACCTGTTTCAAACATCATGAACAGAACAGAAATGTAAGAGACACCAGACAAAGAAGTCACTAATATAACAAAACCAAGGCAACACGTCCATTCGTTACTAGTTATGCCAGTAACTTCAAGTTTGAGATGATAGAACAAAATTCAGAAACACTAATTCCAGGTGCAATCACACGATGTGAAAAAAAATTCTATATCACTACCTGAGTCTCCAGCTCCTGAATATGTTGAATAGCTGCCTGCTCAATGCAAGATCGACGCTTGTATTCTTCCTCAAGCATGCCTGTTATCTGGTACCTTAGTTCAGCCATTTCTTGGGTGAGATCTTCCGCATCCTCTTTTGCCTTTAACTTTTGTTCTCGAAGCTCTTCCTAACAAACAACAAAATACTTACATTACACAATCAAAGGGAAAGTTGTGTTCAAGTATGAACCAGAAAAAATAGATAGCTACTTCAATTTATCCGAGTATTAATTAAGGCATGCACTATAGCAAAATATATTTAGAACAATTTGTTTTTGGAAGATGTTTGGGAGCAAGGATGGCACTTGACCAAAATTAGAGCTTATACCAATTTCTTATTACATGTGGTAAACAACAAATTACCTTGAGCTGCTCAATTAGAAGTTCAGATTCTTCATTTCGTTTTGCCATCTTTTCAAGAATTACATCACCACTTTCACATTCTGCATGAACACCGTTCTCCAATGTTTTGTCAACTTGCTGCCCAGATCCAGAAGGGGATTGTTTAGGAGCTCTTACAGGCAATAGCTCTATCAGTTGCTTATTCTCCAGTACAAGTTGATCAATAGTTCTCTGTGCCTCGTGTAGCTGGAGCTCATGTTCTCCCAGTAATTTGTCAATTTGAGCTTTGTGCTCAGCAGCATGTTGGGTAAAGCTTTCGGTATCAAGTAGTCTCTGCTCAAGATTACTCAAATCAAGTTTCAAGCTCTCAATTTCGCATTGTGAATCTAAAAATGTACTTTCAAGCTTCTCTATCTGTGCGGCTGCCTTCTGCAACTCCTCTTCTTTACATCTGACTTCTTCCATCAGAAGCCAGCACTGAGAATCAGATCGTATCAGCTCATTGTCCATCACTCTCACTCTTTCTGGGAACTTTTCAAGTTCAGTCAGCTTCAGTTCAAGACTGTGAATATGCTCCCCCATGATGTTTGCTTCAATGCTCCGTATATTTAACTGATCCTGCAAATAGTCTACAATTGCAGTCAGTAAAGACAGCCAAAGTAACTAGATATAGAGTAGCCAGACCAATGAGAAACAGAACAATTATTAGTGCATACCAATTTCCTGATAGCAGCTCATCAATTCTGTTTCTAATTTCTCAATATAATACCTGTCCTTCTGGCAGGCCGAAGAGGCTGCATTTTTGTCGAGCTGTACTTTCTGCATTAACAATATTATGAACTCAACCAAACAGTTGAACAAATTAATGATACAATTTTACCTTTTTCTTACATTATTCAAATGTGAAACACCTTAAAATATTACATACAGGAACTATAAGATCATGGGTACCTCTTTATTCTTTTCTTTTCTATGAAGAACCTTTGCACCATTAGCAGGATAATGGCCGTTGGAGCTACTAGACATCTGCAGCAGCAAAAAAACCGCAAGCCCCTGAGAAGTATACAGAAAAATGGCATGGCTAAGCTAAAATGACATCTAGACCATTAGCAGGATAGTGACCGTTGAAGCTACTAGGCATCTGCAGCAGCAAAAAACCACAAGCCACTGAGAATTATAGACAAAGACGATGCTAAGCTAAAATGGCATCTAGTGTATGTAAGTTATAACACATGATGAACATATCTGTCACTAGAGCACCACTACCATTGTAAACTGAAGAAGAGGAATTGGAGATTTACTAGAACATAGGAAAACCCTGAATTTAAATACATTCAGATACAATAATGGACACACTACATTACTCTATAACCCTTTTGTCAGATTCACAGATGTGGGCGGCTAATCTTTGTGATCAGGAGAGAAATTGCCAGAACAAATCGAAACAAGCACAACAAATTGCAGATTTTGGAGCAGCATATAATTAGACCTTTTCGTAAGAAAACAGAGAGAGAGAGAACAAGCTAGCGAAGATGATAATCATCAAGCAAATGAATCTTTCATGGTTCACTGAAATCGTACCTACAGCAACTGATAAGCATCCAGCTGAAAACAAACGGGCCAGCTTAAGCCTCTCCAGCTTAATATGTACTACTAAGAGCATCTCCACCAGCTTAATATGTACTAAGCTCGATATCTCATTCATAAAGGAAGGGATTTGAAGAACAGCAGGTGGAAGAAAGACATATCCCAAACTTGAGAACACCCGCTTGCTCCAATCCTAAACTTGCAAAGGTCTACCCGACAAATACCCTCCTATGTAATAGTTTCTAACTGATTCCCTACCAAGCACAGTCATCTCACAAGATCCCCGCAATAGGTCGACCAAAATCCACAAGAGAAGGTAGGGGAAGGCAGCGGGGTTCGGGAGCTGACCTGCTTCGGTGCACGAGCGCGGCCTGCAGTGACGTCTCCGGCCGTATCCGTCTCCGGTGATCGCCGGAGAGAGGCGGCTCCGAGGACGGGCACTGGCGTCGCCGCGGCTCCGAGGACAGGCACTGGCGTCGGCGCGGGACACGAGGTGGCATCCAGCAGCAGGACGACTCGAGGACGAAGCCCCAGCACTGATTTCGCAGCGCTTAAACGCGATTCGGAGCCCTAATCGCTGTTAGCCCGGGCCACCACGGGGGATAAGGAAAGAGAAAGAGAGCGACGGAGCCTCGGAGGGAGGAACATGGACCTTGCTTGCTGATAGAAATGTGAGGAAGGAGGAGGGTGGACATAGAAAAATGACCAGTTTCTTTTCAAGCAGAAGCTGATCGGACTAGTCGGATACTCGGATTTCGAGTCTCTCGTGTCTCCGGAGTCCAAGCCAAATCCATGGTTGGGCATACAATGGCCACAGAATAATGCAGCCTCGTATAAGTTCGATGTCAATTTGTGGTATCTCTTGACAATCACAAATCTATAAAATTATAAAATTTCCGACCTAACCTACTAGTCTGCCCACGGAACGGAACCAACAAGATCTTATACAGATGCACAACAACGACGGTCTGCCCACGGAACGGAGCCAGCAAGATCTTATACAGATGCACAACAACGACGGCGATGAGGGGAGCAGCTAGATCCCAGCATGCAGAAGCGCACCCTTTTCACCATCAGCAAGTGTACCAGCTCCTGTGCCTGTGGTCACGGGGGGCTTCAGCAGCTCTCTCTCATAAATCACTGTACAGGAAGCCAAAAACGGCTGCTTTTACAAGCAACCGAACACTAAAGCCTGTACAGCTTGGTTGCTGGCCTGTACAGCTTGGTTGCTGAATAGCAATGGGCAGAGCAATTCAGAACAATTGACACACAGTGCATGCTCGAGATCACAAATGAACTCCTTAGAGTAAATCTAGCATGAGTTTGCAAATACACATTTTTTACTATTTGAGCATGAAACTGTCAATGCTAGCACAGCATTTTTCTAGAACAGGCATAAAAAATACAACAGATTCCAAAAAAAAATGCCAAGAGAACCTTTTCTTCTATTATTTATCTTGCATTGCCATAGATCATAAATTACATTCGGAACACATATAGTGTGCACTGTCAAGAGGTCAATGGAAATTGGTTAAAGGCACAGTGATTTCATCCAAATAAAGTTTTAATCAAGGAGAATCAAATGAGATCAAACTGACATAGCAAGATAACATTGTACATGCTTCAATCAAGGCGAATCAAAGCCACCACCACGCATGTCTTGACTCTCGAAAAAAAGAGTTTCTAAGTGTTTTAAGGAAATAAGGCAGCTCTGACTCGGAAGTTCATCTTAACACCAACTCAACATATACTAAACATAAACACACTGAGACTAATCACTCAGCTGCGGCAACCTCCTGTCCTCCCATTGCCTCGTCACCTTCAGCAGGCCTGTCCATCTTGACACCAACATCCTCCTTGGCATAGTCACCATGGACCTGAACATCATAGAGGGCATTATTAGCTAAAAAAGCCACAATGACTATAAAGTACATGAACAGACAAAAACTTTGCTGCAAGTAGTTACCTCCATGAGCTTTCCAATGTCGAACTTTGGTGCTTTCAGGATCTTCACCTTGCGGATGAAGACATTTTGCAAGGGGAATATGCTAGAGGTGGCTTTCTCGATTTCCTTTCCAATGACCTCAGGGATGAACTTGGACACGAGCTCTTTCAGATCACAAGTTGAAGCTTGGTTGCTCATGATTTCGGTCATCTTCCGACGAATCTACCAAAACAGAAATGGTGTTAATATGACAAGACAACCGACAAGCTAAGAGAGATTCAAGGCTCTTTAAAACATGAGATATCTCCAGAACTCTTACCTGTCTGATTTGGCTTGCCTGAGCATAGCTAGTGCGCTTCACTTGATTGGGCCGCCTCTTGGTGAACCCAATGCAGAAAAGCCGCAGCATGTAATTATCAGTGGTCTTGACATCGACATGAGCCTCGATAAGTGTCTGCCACTTTTTAACCAGCGAACGGAGCTTGTCCGTTGTAAAGGACATACCCTAACAAGATGACAAGATGGTTAGAGACATAATATAGAACATAGGTCTCGTAACAGTGTGAAGCGAACTAGAGATCATTACCCAGAAGTTTGTGAGAACATTTCTCCCTTGTACATCCTCTGCACGAAGTCTGATCTTCCTGTACGCCTGGTCTTCATCACTCTGAAGATCAGCCAAGGAGACCTCAAATACTCTGTGCTTTAAACCCTCAGAGGCAATCTGAAAACAAACAGAATAAATTGAGATACATACAGTCATGGGATCACAAAAAAGGATAAAATAGATACTTTGAATTGATTAATTTCCAATAAAGCTACAAAGGAACCAACAGGGTCATCGAAGATTACTGATCCTCAACTCAAGTCTAGTACCCATTCCAATAATTCGGTCCAACGAATGATCTATATCTTAGAAAGTCAACATAAATCATTTTTAAAGCTACCTAACCAAATAATGGCATTGATTCTTTACCAGAATAGTGATACATAGAGAAAACGGACCAAAGAGTGCATAATCTTAGGGCTTCCACCTTATTATATGAACAAATAACAAATGTGACAGCCTACAGAGGTCTCATTCTCATCTTACAGAGCAAATACTACACAGCCAAGGTCTGAGTGAAATAGTACTACTGTAAATCGGGAACAATGTCTAAATCAAAAGTATCGCTAGAAATGCCATATACACTTGGTTGTTGGCATGATTTCACAGTAGTGAAGTCAAGATACATGGATCAGTGCAACCATTCTGGCGTACAAATTTATAGAGCACTGCACAAGATCAAGAATAGGTCTGACCTGACTTAATAAATGCCCTAACAAATGGATACGTAAGGTTCAGCAATACATCTCAGCGACTAATCAATCACTACTTCACCACAATACACGAAGGCAACAATACGATACCCAAACAGAACGAGAAGGTGAAGAGCGGGCATACCTTGGTGCCCTGTGTCCTGGAGACCAGGGTCTTGCCGATGTTGCGCACGCTGAAGACCGACGGAGCCTTGATATCATACCAATCCTTTTTGCTGAACGGATCCACGCTGCAAGGCAAGAGACACAGACACACCAAGAAAACGGGTCAGCACCGGCCAGAGGAGGCCAAAGAACAGCTGATAACGAATGTCATGCGTCATTAAGTTCATAGTACAGCCAAAAAGGATTTTGAAGTGGCCAGAAACATCATAAATTAGCTTATATATATCTACACCAGATGCAGTGAAATTCGAGGGACAATTTCAGATTAGAATGGGTGTAACGATGGATAAATTCAGCAGTTCTGAAGTATTCTTCAGGTAATCAACAATCAAAAGTTGCTGCACTCAACCAGACACAACAAAGGAAAAAATAACTATCAAGCAGTTCCGAGCATTAGCATTGCACAGGCCTAGTGTCCTCGCTCAAAGAAATCATGTGACGTGTGGTCATCTGCGCACCAAAAGGTCCACAAGAGCAAAATCTGACCATCTCTGAACGTTATATTCCCGGTTTCCGATCCGCAAACGGAAGAGGAAAAGGGGGCGAGATAACTCACGTCTTCTTCTTGCCTCCCTTCTTGCCCTTGGAGATACGCTTATTCTTGCCAACCGCCATTGCTGCTGCGACAGCTCGTCGCTGCGTCCGTGCGGCGGCGAGGGGGGCGGCGCGGCGTCCGTGAGGACAGGAGGCGCGGCTGGTTGCGGGACGGCGCTAGGGAATGGGGCGGATACAGAAGACGACGAGCACCAGAGCCGGATTTGGAACGGAGATGAGGGGATGCAGGAAGAGAACGACGGCGGGGTGCGCTAGGGTTTAGAGGGGCACCGGCTGCCCTCCACTTTTATACGGGGGGAGTGGGGGCAGGCCAACGGGCCGATTTGCAGGCCCCCAACGGCCGAGGAGCGAGACCCGCCTGGCCTGCTAACGGCATTCTATGGGGCGGGCCAAGGGCGGCCTGTGCTCGTGCCGGCCCAGCATGCCGGGGGTGCGGCCCAACTACTTCCACTCAAAAAAAAAGTCCACATTACCTCTTAACTTTTGCCAAAGTCTGTTTTTTCCTCTCTAAACTCTAAAACCGGGTAAACCATCTCCCTAAAATTTTAAAACCGTTAGTTTTACCTCCCTGACCAGTTACAAGCGATTTTTAAAGGCGGTTTTATCTTTTTCTTTTTCATTTATTTTGACTAAATCTTTGAAAAATCATAGTAAATCATAGGAAATTCATAAAATTGGAAAATTCAATTTTTTTGGACTCCACATGAGTAGATCTACACAGTGAATATATAATATGGTATGCTTTAGTATAAATTTTTTACTGTAACTTTAGATCTATGCTTTTCTATAATTAATTCATAGCTGCAGTTTTTATGGTCCAACTGTGGTGAAAGTTTTATGCTGGGCTAATTATTTGTCGGAAACCTAATACTGGGGTACCCAATGAGGAGAAGCTAATAACCATCAAACGTTGATGTTTTCAAGCAGATAAGAATGCAACTGCACTTCTTGTCCATACGACCGGAGGTTGGCCTCGACTCGCCCGACCCTTAAGGGTTGGCTCCGCCTCACCCGACCCCCGAGGGCTGGACTCCGCCTCGCTAGACGGCTAAGAGCTGGCTCCGCCTTGCCCGACGACCGAGGACGGGCCTCGCCTCGCCCGACCCCCCAGGGCTGGCTCCACCTCGCCCGACGGCTAAGGGCCGGCTCCGCCTCGCCCGACGTCGGAGGGCTGGCTCCGCCTCGCCCGACGACCGGGGACGGGCCTCACCCCGCCCGACGTCGGAGGGCTAGCTCCGCCTCGCCCGACGACCGAGGACGGGCCTCACCCCGCCCGACCCCCGAGCGCTGGCTCCTCCTCGCCCGACGGCTAAAGGCTGGCTCCACCTTGCCCGACGGCTGAGGGCTGGCTCTGCCCCGCCCGACGTCCTGAGACAGGCTTCGTCTCGCCCGACGACTACGCCCTGCTCCTTCATAATGACGGACACAGGGTAAGACAGGACATTCGAGTCAACCGCACTACAGAGGATCATGCCCTGCACGCCTGCAGGAAAGTATCGTCAGGATATGACGGGACGGGCGCTTTAAGCCCTTCCAGGCATGGTAGAGCTTGAAACAATGTTGTAGGCGCCGACTTTTGTCTTACAGTGTTGTGGGCGCCGCCATCAGCCCTCGGACGCGGATCCTGACATAAGCATATGACAACCACTACAATCCAAGAGAGAACTCGCATCATCTATAGTATGGACGTATAGTCACTTCCCCGTCTGCTCTCCATAGGATCATGGCTCGGCACCCTGGCATGTCGCACCGTCCGTCGGAGTGGGATGGGACATAACACTTGCTGAAGCAAAGCCAGGGCACGGCCATGTTAGGGTCAGCGAACGCGCTATCCCTGGCATGGTCTGCCATGTCAGCAGGGCAGGCTTAAGGGAAAAGGAAGACCCGGCGCCTTCGAATGACCGTCTCTACCTTTGGTTGTTTCCTCTTTCTCCCATCTGTAACCCCTGCTCCCCCTTAGTCTATAAAAGGGAGGGTAGGACACCCCACTAAGGGGACGGATCGTTTTTCATACACAACACATCACACAACGCATAGCCAAGCAGCAACCGAGCTCTTGGCGTCCTTTTGACTCTTCCATCAGAGACTTGGGACATGTCCCTCTCTCGACCATTTGTACCCTCTACTATGAACCTTTTTTGGTGCTAATAACATGAGCAGCAGCAGACTGGACGTAGGGATATTCTGCCCGAACCAGTATAAACCTTGTGTCCTTTAGCACACCATCCGGACCTAACGCACAACAAATATAAATTTACTAGTTGGTGTTTATTCAAAACACCGACAGTTGGCGCACTAGGTAGGGGACCTTTGCGCGTTCCACATCAGGCCACGGATGGCTAACCACGGCATCAGCTGGGTCCCAGGCGCACACGTGCGCTTTGGGAGCCTAGACTTCATCATCACGGTGAGAGGAGAGTTGACATTGGCTCATGCGGCCATCAAATCTCTCCCCTCCATCGGCCTCTACCACGAGAGGCTTGGGCGCCAGCTCGGCGTCTCCCTCGAACCCCAGCAGTCCAGGGAGGACAATCATCACCTCGCCCTTTCCGACGTCAATGACCTGACGTGGTCTTCCGGAGGAGGATCCCTCTCTCTGAAACGCCGCATACGGAGCGCCCCGATAGCGCTTCTGTTCGGTCTCCGCAACGCTGCGGCGACCGTTAGCCACCTCGTGGCACGACGCATGGTTCAGTCGCCCACGAACAAGTTCATGGGGGTGATCGAACACGTCATGGAGTCTCTCCACAACCTCCTCACAGAGGAGCCGGGTCATCCTCTGGCTCTGACTCCAGCAGGGGGAGCCATCACCCCTCCCGGGACTGCTTCATGACGGGTACCTCCGAGGGGCACGTCGAAAGTATCTCCGCGGAGGAGGCAACCCCGATGGGCAACCTCGGTGACAAAACCGAAGGGGAAACAGCGGCCCCACCTCGCGTAGGGGTGGAGCAGCTAAGAGCCCAAAAGCGGGAGATCGAGGAAGCCAGAATCCAGCTTGTGCGGGAATGCGCAGAGGTTGATCGGGAGATTGAACGCTGCGAAGACGGTGGGCGCGCACGTGCCAGGGCCCGTGACGTGAACCGAAGGATCATCGCCGACGATGAAGCCCTTCCTCGCTTCGCCCAGGCGAGCCAAAACATCGCCGCCGCAACGGCCTTGCTCCATAGCCTTCCAGAGGCCGCGACGCCCGAGGATCATCATTATAACACAATGGTCTAACTCCTCTCTTTGATACCAAATGTGCTAAACCTCTTCATCGATCTCCACTCTGTGGGCCCGGACTGTAAGTGACCCGTTTTGCTTCCTTGTCTAGGATGCCGCCGTTGGTATTTTATGAGAAGAAAGGGGTAGACCTTTCCAGGTTTAGCCACGCTGCAGACACTCCACTGCTCCTACTGACGCGTGGGGTCACCAAACCAGGCCCCACGTGTTCTTGACGGAAACATGCGAGTGAGTATGTTGGCAGGTCTGTCGCCATTCCTTATTGACGCAATACCAGAATGGTACGGAGAGTTTTGGAAGGGGCGCGTCAGATGGGGCCGGGCTCGGCGTGGGTTTTTTTCCATTATAATGACAATTTTGAAAATTGCCTTGATCGGAGTTATGGATCCCTCCTTTCTATTTGCCTTGATTGACTTTCATATTTGCCTTGATTGACTTCCATTGGTTTTCATTTTACCGTAGCCTGCGGGATGTGTGAGGCGTGCGTTGAAGCCTGGGCGGGAGAGATCCAAATAACGTTGGCCATCGGATCAAGTTGAAGCCTGTGAGAAAGGATTATGAGCCATAGATTTTAATGATACGGTAATCCTGGATACAATTTCGTTGGTGCACAATGGTTGTAGTCTCTCAGCGGGGGACTTTTTTTTTTAAAAAGACCTAGTATAGTTTTGATTAGTCCCTTATAGTAGAGATATATCACATCGACTTTGCCCTCAACCAAACTCATCTTAACAGGCATAGCAACCAAAACACGCACATAACTCAACCAAAGCTTGTATAACATATTTTTTTTCACTCAATCATTTCTACAAGGGCAACGTGAAGCCATAAGACAAAATCATTTGTACAAAATTTGTAAAAGGACAACAATGTACACAATTTGAAAAAGGCCAACACCATGCAATTAGATGAAAATTTGCAGAATCCCATACAAAGCCTCCCCAGCGCTTTGCTATTGTTGTCGACGTCTTCTTACTCGACCGTTCGGCGTGAAACGTTGAGTATCCGCTGTTCGGAGTGAAGGGATCCACTGGACTACTAGAGCGTAATGTAAGTTTGCGCAAATTACTTGCACATGCATGTTCCTAAAACAGAAGCTTTGCGCAAATAACTTGCAGATCAACCTGGCATAGCAAGGAAATATTCAACTTCCAAGCAAAAATAAAGCCGCCACAGATCCAGATGTCAACAAAAAAGTGTTTCAAGGTAACACGGCAGTTTCAAATAGGAAATCCATCTCACTTAAGCCTATAAACATATTTCTATATATCACAGCAGGAGAGTTTGGCCGTCGTTTACAGCCGTAGGATCTTCGCTTCGACGTCCAGATTTCGTTTCGTCTACTGTTCTGGTCTGCATGTTCTGGAACCTTCGTTCATTCATTTACTCTCCGTCTCGTTACTGTGCCCGCCCTCATCCTCTCGCCTGTACGCTCCCTCCCTCGCTCCCGAGTTGCCACACGACTGAGGCGACGGCGCGGGCCGACCTCGGCGGTGGCCGGCCCTCCGCGCGGCGGCGACCACACTCCTCCTCCTCCTCCACCACCACCACCACCACCACCACCACGCCACTTCCTCCTCGCGACGCAAGGCAGTGGGTCGCGCGGCCTAGGGTTTGGCCCCTCCGTCGCCGGTCGTCCCCACGGCCGCGCGGGCAGCCGGCTGAGGCCTTGACGCGCCGGACGGCTCTGGCGGCGGAGGGACCTCCGTGGTGGGCGTGGATGATGACGGGGAGGTCACGTCAGCAACCTCGGCGGTGGACCTGAAGCGGCCGCTCGCGGGGCCCTTCCCGGCGGCGGATCTGAAGCTGGAGCACGGCGTGGACCTCGCGCCGGCAACGGAGGTGGTGGATCTGCGCCGAGCAGGCGGATCCAGCGCGAGGCCTCCCCGTCTCCACTGGATCCGGCTGCATGGGCTCCACCGTCGCGTTGGACGGTGCCACACGTCCTCGAGCTAGCCCCCGCCGTGCCTGCCACCCCGACGCGGCTTCGTCCCGCAGGTTCACCTCTCCTAGTGCGCCGCGTTGGCGGGGCGACGGCGCCCCGGCCTGCTGCGCAGCGCCGCGCGTGGGCCCCCACGGTGGGTGGCCTGACGGCGGTGGACATCCTCGGCCACGGAGCGGCACGACAGGCCCATGCCGGTAGCCGCCGCCGCTGCTTCCCCCGCGCTGCCCCTTCCCGTAGCTCCGCGTGTGCTCCACCAAATGGTTGGATTTCTCCGCTTCCCATTCAATCTATGCAGTGAATCGAGTGAAAAAAATCCCCTTTATCTTCTTTCCTATCTTGCCGGCGCGCGCGAGGGCGCGCGTGATGGAAACAGCAATCCTGAGCCAAGCTCGGCCACCTCATTGGGCCACGTCACTCTATTTTTACCACCGTTCGATCCTAAGCACGGTTGCCATCCGGCCGTCAATGAGGCCCCCATTGATAGTGTCGCAACACTTCGAGAGAACTCGGCGTTCAGCCCTCCGGCTCCGCGTCCGGGTACCTTCGCCTCTCGCCGTCGCTCAGGCTGCCGGCGCACCCGCATGCACGCCTCCAATCGCACTACGGCAGATCCCCGCGCCCGGCGCTGCCAGGGACCACCACGCGCGCTCGCTCTCTCCCGCGGTACGCTGGTCTGCGCCGCGCCCGCGATGCCGCGCTCCACGCCGTCCTGCACCTCCGAACCGCTGTCGCCGCTTGGCCTACCGCCCAAGAGGTCCGGCTACCGCCTCTCCCCATGCCGACGCCGGTCAAGCACGAGATCACGACCGCGGCCGAGGGCAGCAGATCAGACGGCGGCGACGACGACGCCCTCTACGACCTCGTCAACACCTACATGGACCTGTACGGGCTGCCAGGATGACCGCGGCAGCCGCACCAGCGGCACGCGCGCGGGCAGCGCCGCGGAGAGTCGGTCCGCAGGCTAGACCGCTAGATGCAGGCTAGGCGCCGCCTCCTGCCGTTCTCGCTCGGCGAGACTCGGGCCATGATCAAGGAGTGGTTGACCAGACAGGCTCCTTAGCTAGCTTGCGATGCACAAGACGTGGCTGGCCAGACGCGCGGCCGTCCCGACATGCCGCCACGGCGGGCCATGGTCACCGCGAGCGGATGGTCTGCGGCCACGGCAGCGCAGCGCCACTGCGAGCCACGGCCGGCCAGCCTACTGTGCCCACTGCTTGCCGAAGATGTTGAGCATGTTAGCAGATGCAGCGTAGCTCCTCCTGTAGTAGGATCTGTAGTATGCCTCTCATATATGGATCTCCTCACTCTGCCAATTTCCAAGACTGATGAAATATTTGGATTTTCTGGAACTTTGTTTTGCCCTGCACAATGTTGACTCCCAACTGCAAGATTTTATTATTTTTCGTTCAATGTAAACACCTGTAGTTTTGAAGCCTAGCGGACAAATACGTTGAGAAGACAAAGAAAAAGGCTATCTAGAAATATTAGCGGTAGTGTATAGAACTACAACTCATAGCCTTGTATGTATTTCACCATTCAATTGCTGAGATTTGCTTGCACAGTCTGACTATAAGTGAAGTAATTTTCATATGAAAAATTATATAGCTGGTTTAAGAGAGATTGATTTTTAAAGAAACGTTGTGCACATATGCTGATATTTCTAAAAAAAAAAGATACGGAATGTTGCCATGTATTAGTAGGTCCCTTGTCCTTGCATGAGTTTTTCTGAGTCTGAATACTATTCTAAGCACCCATTTATGATAATCTCATCATGGGGACATTTAATTTTAAGTTATTATATGTCATTCTTCTGGTCGAAAGAGATTAGGGAAGTAATATTAAACTCCACAGTGTCACTTCTGGTATCACCAATTTACATTTTGATATCCTCTGTTCACAAAGCCACAAACTATTCCTTGCACAGCTGATTTCACTGTGCCTTCTTTGCACCAATTTCATGCTTTGATAGCTATTTTGGGAACATATCACTATATCAGAGACTTATGCCCAACCCATCTTCGTATCCTTGCAATGCAAGTGCCATATTTTACATCAAAGTAAATCTTCATCATATAATATTCTTCAGTTCTGTTTTATCGCTAGCAGGCCATATGTATTCACTATCATGTTGGGTTGTTTGTTTTCTTTCTTTCTTTTGAGGAGCATGTGTGTTCCCACTCCTTTTTTCACAAGATAGACACTGGCAAATTGTTGTTCGCTGACTGGTACCCAAGTGCCGATCATACGAATGATTTAAATTAATGGTGATATACAGACCAGACCCCGTTGCAGTTTTTCTATGTATATCAAATTAGATTTTACTTAGTGCAAATGAATGATCATAAACATGTTGTGCACATATGCTGATATTTCTAAAAAAAGATACAGAATGTTGCCCATGTATTAGTAGGTCCCTTGTCCTTGCATGAGTTTTTCTGAGTCTGAATACTATTCTAAGCACCCATTTATGATAATCTCATCATGGGGACATTTAATCTTTAAGTTATTATATGTCATTCTTCTGGTGGAAAGAGATTAGTGAAGTAATATTAAACTCCACAGTGTCACTTCTGGTATCACCAATTTACATTTTGATATCCTCTGTTCACAAAGCCACAAACTATTCCTTGCACAGCTGATTTCACTGTGCCTTCTTTGCACCAATTTCATGCTTTGATAGCTATTTTGGGAACGTATCACTATATCAGAGACTTATGCCCAACCCAGCTTCGTATCCTTGCAATGCAAGTGCCATATTTTACATCAAAGTAAATCTTCATCATATAATATTCTTCAGTTCTGTTCTATCGCTAGCAAGCCATATGTATTCACTATCATGTTGGGTTGTTTGTTTTCTTTCTTTCTTTTGAGGAGCATGTGTGTTCCCACTCCTTTCTTCACAAGATGGACACTGGCAAATTGTTGTTCGCTGACTGGTACCCAAGTGCGGATCATATGAACGATTTAAATTAATGGTGATATACAGACCAGACCCCGTTGCAGTTTTTCTATGTATATCAAATTAGATTTTACTTAGTGCAAATGAATGATGATAAACATATGTTAATCTTTTTAGCTTTTGGGCAATCTAACTATGCCAATTTGGGAATCGCTGCCAAATTCCAGTATGCTGTAAACACTAATCTTCATACATTTACGCATTAAACAATAACTCGGACTCAATTCTAAACTAGATCAGTTCGGTTATTTGTACCAAGGCCTTTGTGCAAATAGCATGCAACTTGCTAATTAAATTATGCAGATCACGTTTTTTTAGCAACGAATATGCAGATCACGTGTACCTCTTTATTTAGAGAATTCATTCTTTTTTTATTCTCACTTTCTCAGTAATTACAATTACTACTTCTGCTTAAGACCTTTTGTTATATATCGTATCACTGATTAATCACAAATTATCCATCAAATAGACAGACCATACCACAAGCCCATTGTCTGTAAATAAGCAGCTTATACAAATCTTAAAAAAGAAGCTTTCTACGGTTTGTTTCTCATTATTGATAAACAATGCTTAAGACATTTTTCTCTTATTGATAGACAATTTAAGACACTTCTATGAGATGTTTACATTTTTAACTTGGGCCTCCTATATTGTTGCTTCAATTTTATACTGCAAACTTGAATCACTGGTGTTGTATATGTTCCAAATGAATTTACACCATTGTACTCCAATTCAAGCACTACTGGGGATATAAACATACATATCTAGCATTTTCATATTAGCCAGTATCCTACTACACAAAATTAAATAAACAGTGGCCGTCACAGAGATGGCGCCGTGTTTTCTAGTACTATCACTTGGATGCAGAAACCTCCTGTCCCCCATTGTCAAGTCATCTTCAGCGAGCCTTTCAATCTGAACACCAACATCCTCCTTGGCGTAGTCACCATGCACCTGGGAGTCACACAACATTATTAGATTGAAAAAAAGGCACAATGCTAAACTACCATAACACAAACTTTGCTTCAGGTAGTTACCTCCATTAGTTTTCCAATGTCAAATTTTGGCGCCTTCAGGATCTTCACCTTGCGGATGAAGACATTCTGTAAAGGAAAGATGCTAGAGGTGGCCTTCTCAATTTCCTTTCCAATGACCTCAGGGATGAATTTGGACACAAGCTCTTTAAGATCACAAGAAGAAGCTTGGTTGCTCATGATTTCGGTCATCTTCCGTCGAATCTGCAAACATAAATGGTATCAATGTAACAAGACAGCAGGCAAGCTAAGAGAATTTCAAGCCTCTTTATAAACATGAGATATCCCCAGAACTGTTACCTGTCTGATTTGGCTTGCCTGAGCATAGCAAGTGCGTTTCACTTGATTGGGCCGCCTCTTGGTAAACCCAATGCAGAACAGCCGCAGCATGTAGTTATCAGTGGTCTTGACATCGACGTGAGCCTCAATAAGCGTCTGCCACTTCTTCACCAGTAAACGGAGCTTGTCCGTGGTGAAGGTCATTCCCTAACAAGATGACAAGATGGTTAGAGACATAATATAGAACATAAGCCTGGTAACTGTGTGAACTAAACCAGAGATCATTACCCAGAAGTTTGTGAGAACATTTCTCCCTTGTACATCTTCTGCGCGAAGCCTGATCTTCCTGGATGCCTGGTCTTCATCACTCTGGAGATCAGCTAAGGAGACCTCAAACAATCTGTGCTTAAGACCCTCAGAGGCAATCTAAAAAAACATATTTCAGAGAGGGAATTAAAAAATCACATACCAATTTAAATTGAATATTTTAAACTAAAATTTCTGATAGAACTACACTAAAAGAACTGCATAAGATTATTGTTCCTCAGCTAAGTACACATCCCTAGATAAATGACATATGACTGGATGGGCCAGTGGCAAGCTCCCAAGGGTGGGAAGTAGCCGGCGGGGTTTCGAACCGCCGCACCGCAACTGGCCTCATGGAAGGCTGCGCCAAGGTGGTGCTGTTCAAAAAAAAATGACAGATGATCTATCTATATCTTAAGAAGGCAAGAAAAAGGCTTGGTAAAGTTCTGTAACCAAATAATAACATGTGTATCGATTCTGTACCAGTATAGCGATGCATATAGAAACCAATCCAATCAGTGCATAATCAGCAGCATTTAAAAGAAAAGAAGCTTATGGCCTTCAGCCCAACTTATACTAACATGCTACAGATAGTTAATCAAAAAGCACATCAGGCAATCAGGCATGAAGATGGTGCTTATATAAACACCAAAGAATTCTATATTCATGCTTCCAGGTTGCAACTTATAGCTAAAAATGAAAACCTACAATCACCATTCACCCCATCCTACTGGGCAAAATTCTACACAGCAGAGGTCATGTGATACTACTGTATATCAGGAACGACATCTAAATCAAATGTATCATATAAAAATCCACACAAACTCGGTAGCTGGTATAATTTCACGAGAATTGAGTCAACATACAAGTCAAACCATACAATGCATGGACATAGACCACATCACTCCCACCTACACCAACTGTAAAAACCTACAAAGGTCCCATCTCACTTCCCTTTAACCTGACTGAACAAATAATCAAATACCCGAACAAATGGATTGGTTAAAGTTCAACTACACATCTAATGGAAGGCACTACTTTATCACAGTACACGAAGGCAACGATTACATTCACAGACAGAGCGAGCAAGAGAAGAGGAGCAGGCATACCTTGGTGCCCTGTAGCCTGGACACCAGAGTCTTGCCGATGTTGCGTACGCTGAAGACCGACGGAGCCTTGATATCATACCAATCCTTTTTGCTGAACGGATCCACGCTGCAAGGCAAGAGACACAGGCACAGCAGGAAAACGGGTCAGCGACAAAATTGGAAGATCGAGCTTCTGACCAGGCCGCGGCGGCCAGTTCCAGCACGGCTGGCTGGAGCTCCGGCTGGCCGGGCCATGGCCGGCTCGTGGCTGGCCTGCTGCGGCAGCGGCCGGGCCAGAGGAGGACGGGGCGAGATAACTAACGTCCTTTTCTTGCCGCCTTTTTTGCTCTTGGAGATACGCTTATTCTTGCCAAGCCATGGCTGCTGCGAGAGCGCGTCGCGGTGGCGGCGCGGGTAGGGCTTGCGGGGATATTTAACTTTTAAGGCATTTTTACATACGTGGCGTGTCCGTAGGATGTGAAAGGATTTGTTATCCTTATCTATTTATTCTTCGTCCGTCTTATCCTCATTGCTAGGTAAAGATGTATTCCAACCTATGCGCCTCTCAGCTTCGTCTCCTCCTCCCTCCGAGACACGAGCAGTAGCAGATGAAGCCGGCGAGCGCGAGGTCTGCGCACCACCCCAGCTAGCAGCGCTGCTCCGATGGCGAACACAGGCACGAGATTCGCCGCGCGTGGGCTCTACCCCGCGTGCGTCCCCATCCCCGGCGTGCCTCCCCATGGTCGGCCGCGCGAGGTCCAGCTCCTCCCCTTCTGGTCGCTGCTCCCCCATCCCCGGCAGCGTGCACGAGGTCCGGCTCCTCCCCTTCTGGCTGCGTGAGCTCCTAGGTCCGGCGAGGTGCCACCATGTTCATCGTCGGCGGGGGAAGCTGGCTCGCCGGTACCGGCAGCGACTGCGCACGAAGAGACGCGGCGCAGCTCGTCTATGCCCGGGGATACGCGTCCTCCACTGGCGAGGAAGCAGAGGAGCACGAGCACGAGGAGGCACGGGACCACCATGTTTGTCGCCGAAGCCGAGGTGGCCGTGCTCCTGCACGTGCTCCAGGTGCCGCTATGTTCGTCGCCGGCGTCAGGCGCGGCCGTGGACCTGCAGGGCGTGGCCCCGGTTGCCTCCCCCCCAACTTCCCCTATGTCCTGGCAGCCGCCGCCGTGGACCCCATCGTCGGCCATGGTCAGAGCTCGAGCGAGGAAGGGATAGAGATAGAAGAAATAGATGAGGGGCAAAAATGTCATTTCCCGTGGCCGGTCTATGCTCTCAGGTCGAGTTGGCGTGCCACGTCAGAGAAAATTGCAAAAATGCATCAAATGCTCTCTCTCAATGGTAAATATATAAGAGCTATTTAAAAAATGCTATCTGAAGAGGTGCCACCCGTTATAATGGTAAAAAGTTAAATATCCCGGGCTTTTGTTGCGAGGTTTTCTATGCGATGGATGAGGTCTGTTCCGATGGATGGGCCGTATTTACTGTTCACGGATGGTTAGGCCACTCTGAAGCCTGTTTGGGCCAATCGATAAAGCAAAGCCCATGTAGAGCCTAAACTGGCCGTAAAGTTATTCCCGACCCAAACAAACTGCGGCCCATCGACAGCCTTGCTCGAGTTCCGGTTTTGACCCCTCTTCCATTTCTGGCTCAGATGAAATTTCGGCCTTATATGCTCATTGAATTCCTTCCCCGTCTTCGTATTTCTCAGTACTACTCGAATTTCGGGTAAGCTGTTGAATCGCTTGATGGCCCGGCCGTACATAACCATGCGAGGACTCTGAGTTTCAGCAAGAGATTCCCCGTAAGCAGGACCCTGTAAGCAAACCACAAGCGATGCATTGATGCTGCAGCTGCCAGAAAAGGCGCGGGGAAAACGACGGCACCGGACGGGGAAGAGTGGAAGACCGGTGCTTTTGCATGCATGGCCTGAGCAGCAGCTGCACGAACAAAGCCGGATGTTCCCCCGTCAGCTCGACTGGCTGTTTAGTCACACACACGCTTAGCTTTGGCAAGTAGTACCGCGCAGTGCTGACCGCCTGGGCCATGCTTGCTGAACACGAGCATGTAGATATGAATGATGATCGGTTCTTTCTTTTGCTTTCCTGTGTTTTGTTACTTCCGATTCCGAGTTACGACGATGATTATGTAAGAACTTGCATTATCTTCGTTCTTAAATGACATGGCAGCAGTGCTCTGCTGATTTCTTTAAAAAAAAAAAACACATCTTGATGATAATATAAAAATCGACACGTATTAAGAAACAGGTTACAGCTTGCAAGAAGCCGTTCCACTCGCAGATCAGCACGTCATGTAGCAGCAGCATGTTGCGTTCCGTGCGTGTCAAAAAGGCAAAGCGCGCGCGGCTCGCGGGATGCAACCGTACTAGTACGTGGGTGCGCCTCTCCGGCCGGCCGCTGTCCGCACAAAGCACGATCGGGGCCGGACAGTTTGGAGACCACTAGTGGCGATCGGGGCCGCGAGAACGATCGAGACACGCAGCCGCAGCTTGTGCCGAGCGCTGCCAGTGGCCATGCGAAGCGCCCATGCCATGGCCGCGCACGCACACGCGCAACTCGGCACCGTGGCCGTAGTGGAGAGGGAGCAGCGAGCGACGCATGATACTCTGGTTGGCTGGTTCGTATCGTTGCTGGTTCGTTTATGTGAGAGCTGGTTCGTATCGTTGCTGGTTCGTTTATGTGAAAGAGAAGTACTGCTGACTGGTTCGTATGAATAATATCCATGTGAGGGGGCAGGCCAGCCCCAGCCCAGCGATCAGGCTTCTGTCCCCGCTCCCGCTTCACTGTAGCGCGATGGATGGGTGACTCCAGCATTGCTGACCCTGGGTCCTCACTTGGAGTTTAAAAGCACTTAAAATTCAACCATTACCTCCAGCAACAGCCACTACATCCTAGCCCTCGAATTCATAGGATCCACTCGTCATTAGAGCAACTCCAGTGTAATCTAAAATCGAACTGAGAGCTCATCCGACTGAACCACGCACACTGGAGTATTCGAGCCGTATGTGTAGAAATCACACTCCGCAGATGACTTGAACCGAAGCGATAAAATAACCAGTTCCGTGCACCACGTGAGCAGAGAGAAGCAAAGAACGATTGGAGAAGAGTCCGCCTGGTCCTGGCCGTGAACTTGATGGAAGATTTTTTTTTTTAATCGTACGTGGACCCTACTAATCGATGTCTACGCTAGAGTCATCGAACTCTCCTTGCGTTCTAGTGGCATGGATTTTACGATTTGATTTAGCACTAGAGCTGCCTTTAGGTCGTTTGTTCTCCATTTCTCTCTCACGCATCCACGGATAGACTCATTTCTCTACAATCACGATGGCATCGTCCTTCGTGCCGCCGTGTGTCAGCATCGAAGAGGGAGAAGGGGAGAGAGGGGGTCATGGACTCATGGTTGCCCCTGCGGGAAGAGGGTGTTGAGGAGAAGGGCTCACCAAGGAGAAGTCGCTAGGGCGGAGAGGGGGCGGTGTCGTCGGTGCGAAGATATAGGAGCAAACACACTAGGGAGCATTGGAGTGTACTAGAACATATAATATGTCCGATTTGATAGTATTATACCAACAATACTGTAATACCATAATGTGTGTGCAAGCGTACTGAAATGCACACCAAACCTCGGATATAAAAGGCTAGCCTCAACATTTTGTATGTCTCTCTCTCTCTCTCTCTCTCTCCTCTTACCTAGGGGGAGATTGGATCCTTGGTTTCCAACTTTGAAACCAGATGCACAAGGAGAGAGAGCTCAAGATCACGCTGGACGTATGTTTTTTTTTCATAGTAGGGGTCTCAACTTGGTAATCTCTCATATGGATTGAGCTAATTGCTTCTAGCTCTCGTCTTTTGAATCCCTTTGCTGTGAATATCTTGCTAACGTTAGTTCGCCGTCTACCCACCGACACCGATACAAACGTTATGTCAAAATATTTTATATGCATATATTTTTTTCATTTAAAATGCTATAAATTGTAGGGTATATCTGTAATAGAATGTGACTATGACAATTTAGCTTATTACACCATGCTATCTCTAGAGAAAAAATAGTACATGTCGGGTTCATAAACCCGGGGTCCTTCATAGACCGGCTTCCCAGCAAAGGCTCGGTCCAGCAGACGACGTCGCGAACAACGCGCAACTCCTGAGCTGGCCCAAAAACCTAACGATAGGCCAGAAGGGCGATCCAGTCTCCGACCGGAGGGCATGGCCAAAGACGAACGACGCTCGCTTGCCTCCGACTCCGGCCCGCCTCTCCGACCGGAAGGCCTGGCAAAGGAGGAACGCCGCCGCTTTCGACTCTGACCCGCGTCACCGACCGGGGATACACCGAACCTCTGCTTACATCTCTTTTCAGACTGACGCAGTCAGAGCCGACTGGGACCAACCGACCGGGGACGCCCGCTCGATGAGGACCAGGAAACGGGTGGAGCAAGTAAGACAAGACGCTCAAGTCAACCGCAAATACCGAGGACCTTACCCTATACACCTGCAGGACAGTACCAACAGGGCATGGCAGAAGGGCACCCTGCAACCTTCCAGGCATGTCAGAACCCCAACAGTGTTGAGGGCGCCGACATTTACCCTACAGTGTTGCGGGCGTCCTCAATTCCCATACCAGGCAAACACGGGAAGGGCTCCCACATGCATCTGGGCATCCACAGTGTTGTGGGCGCCGGCATTTACCGTACTTGGTGACTACGGTGAAAACCTCCCACATGCGTCTGACATCAACAGTACTGTGGGCGCCTACAATCATCTTGAACCCGACAGCTTGGACAACAAGACTTAGTAGCATACGTACTCTCTCTCGCTTGTAAGGCCGTCCTCTTCATCTATAAAAGGGGATGGCCTCTCTCCCAACAAAGAGGATCAATCAGTTTACTCACACACAGCAACAGAACAATTAGGTTCAAACCTCGAGCACATGCTCAAATACTCAGCGCACGTAGGAGCTTCCGTCACTCTCGGCCCTTCAGACCAGAGTTTGACCGGGCCTCTTGCACCCCCATTTTACTTCTTCTCGTTTGTAACCCCACAACAAACTTCGAGCACCTAGGCTCAGGAATAAAGTTACCGACCGGCTCAAACGGGACGTAGGGCACGTTGCCTGAATCATTATAAATCATGGCCCCGTTCACTGGTCTGAAACTTGGCTGAAACTGGCTGGTTGTTGTGAGAGAGAAATACTGTAGTGGCTGAAACTGGCTGGTTGTTGTGAGGAGGGGCAGCCGGCTGGTCTGGTAAACCAGACCAGCGAACGCAGCCCATGTGTCATTGAGTGTTAGGCCACATCCGATCACAACGTACAGCAAAACTATAAATATTTATGTGTTGGTCACTTTCTGCACCGACAATACCTCATAGAAATTAAGGGCCTCTAAGAAGTTATTCGTCGATCGATCTATATATATATAGACCCTCGTGGCATGTATAGAGTTACCACAGCAGTTATCATGCAAAAAATTATCAAGGTCTCTAGCAATTTAGATACACGTAACAGTGCCGCTACAATTGCCTAAGAAAAACCCTGTTGCTTACACTATAAACGCTGTGATACCGCCACGGGGCCACGTGTCTTCCTCGTAGATTTAACACGTCATCAAACTATGATGTGGCAGCCCTCCACGTTGGAGGCCCTTTTCTCTTCTAAAGTAACCTACCTTCCTGTCTCCATTGCAGGGCCCACGTGGTTCTCTTCTCTCTCTCTCTCTCCTATCGGTTTTTAACTTTGCTTCCATGCATGGATTTCTCCTCCCCCCAACTCCCCAAGGCCCCAACCGCACCCGTCGCCCCAACAAAACCTCCGAGCAGATCACGACCTCCACCATCCCGCTTAACCACACCACCCTACCTTTCCTCCCCTCTTACTCCTTCAGCACTCTGCTAGCCTCAAGCTTGCTCTCGCCCTCTTTCTCCCAGATCTCCGACGCTCGACGCGCCGCGGATCCTCCTCCCGATCGCATCCTGATGGCCTCCAGGTCGGTTTCTTGATCCCTCGA